CACCCGAGACGTGACTTGCAATAAACGCAAATTGTTTTCTCAGACTCTGTTTCATAAGTTTTACTCAGAAAATGGTCTGTTGGGACATTTCTACATAGTCTGAGTGTTCAGAAAGAGGATGTTAGAGCTCGGTGTGGGTAGAAAGAGCAGGTGAGTGTGGGAGGAGCTGCTGTCTGTCTCTGCTGCTGCTGGAGACGAGGCACAGCAGCACCGACACAGGAGAGTGTGTGACGCAGCGAGACCAGAAACACACTCAGGAGGAAAAGAAAAGAAATCATCAAATCATCATCAAAAAAGGAAAAGTCTGATAAATGAACTCCCCTACAGTCTCTATTAAGAGTAGACTGGTAGGTTATAAAATATGAATTAGCCTGAGAAACTCTGTTCTTATTTTCACTGAATATAAATGCTGTAAATGACTGAACCAGTCCAGCTGTACAGTAATTGTACTGTAACATTAGTGTTAGTAATAGTATTGTGTGTACTGTGTTTCATTAATATCATAGTGTTATTATATTATACTCATTAGCAGAAAATATTACATGAGATTTTTTAGTTTTTTTTCGCATCTTAGAACATATCGAAATCAAATCGATATCGTAACCTGTGTATCGAGATACGTATCGAACTGTGGGAAAACTGTATCGTTGCATTTCTACTGTTTAGTGGCCATAATTAGCCCAAGTTGTTCTGTAGTTACTCAGGGAACTATAAGATATTTGGATCAGCTTTGTCTTATTTTATTTTACTTTAAAGAAAAAAAAAGAAGCTATTATTAGTCTCTGTACTGGTATCGGTAGATATCGGGTATCTGCTTATACTTAAAGCTGTAGTATCAGAATCGGTATTGGAACTGAAAAAGCTGGATCGGTGCGTCCTTATTTAACACTAGTCTCTAGTTATTTTTGCTACTTATTTAGAATTTATTATAATCATCTATTTTTCTTCTCTTTGTTATTAAAATATATGGTGACGTGTGTTTTTCTGGTGGAGGATCTGTCAATTGCTTTTCTCCATGTTATTGCTTTGTCTGGAATGTTTCACAATATGGCATTAAACCTTTCTGTCTTTATGGAGATCAAGTTGTTGCTCCACATACAAAATGTTGGCTGCAAACTCGGGATGATTTAGGCAGTCAAAGGTTTCCTTTTTCGTCCTTCCCGTGGATCAATCCTGCCCGTCGCCTTCACCTTTCACTATTTTTCAATTCCATTGGGAAGGGAAACAGTTTGAACAGAGGTTTGCAGTCACACATCTGATTCCCTTTTGCATTTATGGAGTTCGCAAACACATTTCTCAAGCCGTTTTCTGCTGTTAGAACATCCAACAACCACAACACAATTACAATGTCCAAATCCCAAAGCTAAAATATGACAATATCAGAACCAGAAACAAAAGTGATATGTTTCAGAAGACTAGAAAAGATCGACTTTGTCAATAGACACATCCCACTGGGAAAACAAACGGTTTGATGCTCACTTTTTCAGAAAATCCTCCGCAGTATGCATTGTGTAGTGAAGTCTGAGATTCTTGATGCGTCTATTCTCCTGGACGCATGTTAAAGGTACGCTATGTAACTTTTTGTTTGGGGATCTGTCACCTGCTTGTTTCTATGGAGATGTCATTGCTCTGCCTGGAATATTCCACAGTGTGACATTAAACAGCTCTACTTTACATTTATTCAATTACAGGTGCTCAAAAAAACCCAGAAAAACAGACATTCTAACTGTGAGCGGGGTCGCCTCTCCATAGATCTGACCTGTAACTTCTGGTTTGGTCTCCGTGAAGATAGAAAAGTTTAATGCCGTACTGTGAAACATTCCAGACAAAGCAATAACATCTCCATGAACATTTGACGGACCCTCCACCAGAAAAGTTACACAATGCACCTCAAAAATGTGAAATTTGAAGAGAATCATTTTATTAAAACATGAATCTCAAATCTAATCACAATCACAAAGCTTGTCAGAAAAATAATTATATTTCTTTCCAAAATCGTGGAGCCCTAGCATAGTCTCAGAAATTAAGCGAATTTTCAAGATTTTCACCCAAATTTCACCTTCTCTTCAAAATATTAAACATCACAACACATTGTAAGATTAATTCTAAAACTTGAAAATAAAAATAAACCGTAAAAAAACAGGATGCAAAACAAGCCAAGAAGCAAAGAAGCAATGTTCAAAAACAGCTACTGAGAATTTTCATCAAACTAATTACACAAAGATATATTAGAAGTCTTCCCACAAATGTTATATATATAGAGAGCCACATGAGCTACAATAATATCTCTCCTTTTTTCTCTATTTTTTTTTTTAAATGGACAGAAATTGACCGCAGATTCTTAGAGCAACTGACTCTTGTGAGCTTGGAGTCATGTTATAATGTTGTTACCTCCTTAAAAACAGACCTGGAGGGACCGTGTAGCATCTGTTCTTTTGAATTTCAATTAAGAATGAAAAACAATAAAACGAGAAAACAGTTTGTTCTTTCATTATTCCATTTTAGTGTCAAACAAAACAACAGATTTCGACCTCTATTTCCAATATTTAATTTCAAATAACACCGATCAAAGAACAGTCTCAGTGCCTGTTTTAATTTTGATATTTTATTCTCTCTGGTTTTGTTTGCCCTGGAAGTTCTGCTGCAGTGTCAATCACAGATCTACAATAAAAACTATTTTTATTCAAGTTCTGTGGTGTCAAACGAACAAAGTTTATCGCTGCTTCCCATTCCTCGTCATGGAGTTTAACAATGACGCGAAAGTAAACGCATCACTATAAAAAAGATCACAAGTTTGTCCACAAAATTCCAACGATTTGTCCGGTCCAAGTCCTTCTCGCAGCAAAACTTCTGGGGCAAATAAACAAAATATCCAAACTGAAACAGGCACCAAGACTGTTTTTTGATTGATGTTATGTGAAATTAACTTTTTCTGGTAAAGGGTCTGTCAAATGTTCATGGAGATGTTATTGCTTTGTCTGGAATGTTTCACAGTACGGCATTAAACTTTTCTATCTTCACGGAGACCAAACCAGAAGTTACAGGTCAGATCTATGGAGAGGCGACCCCGCTAACAGTTAGAATGTCTGTTTTTCTAGGTGTTTTTGAGCACCTGTAATTGAATAAACGTAAAGTAGAGCTGTTTAATATTCACACTGTGGAATATTCCAGGCAGAACAACGACATCTCCATAAAGAAAAGCAGGTGACAGATCCCCAAACAAAAAGTTACATAGCGTACCTTTAACATGCGTCCAGGAGAATTGACAAATAGACTGAAATATGTTTGTTTGTTTTGGTTTGACACTGAAGCAGAAGAATGAAATAACAAACTGTTTTCCCATTTTATTGTTTTTTGTTCTTAATTGAAATTTAAAAGAACAATGGTACACGGACTCTGGAGTTGTGTTTTGTTTCATTCACGCACGTTTGAGTAACCCTTTATTATAAGTCTGTCTACATCACTAAAGCTCCAAATGGCTACGTTCAGACTGCAGGGCTTAACGCTCAATTTGGATTTTTTTGTGAAATCTAATGTTTTTGCGAGGTCATTCACATGTCCAATTAAATGTGACTTGTATGTGACTCCAGTGTGAACATTAAATGGCTTGTGCACTGGAGACACGACGACGTCAACCACAGAGAGCGTGCTCTGTGTTTACAGAAGTTGTCCAAACATGGACGCAGCATTGAGCATCTGGAGATTTTAAAGTTCCTCTCGTACCGGAGCCACAACATGAACAACTTACTTGTTTTAAGGAGGAGGACGAGGTTTTTGGCCGTGGCGTATTGTGGGACAGCGGCAGCAACGTCCGTTGAAATGAACGTGTGGATGTGGAGACGTAGCCAAGAGTGGTGAGTGGTGATGTGCTTTGCTTCAGTGACACGGAGTTCATTAACAATTTTCACCTACTTCAGCGCAGAATAGTGACGTTTGTGGCTTGTTGATAACGTGTAGGTGGATGAATGCACTTTGGCCGTTCACACTGAAGTCACATGTCAAAAGATCAGATATGTATCAGTTTCAGGAGCACATATCCAAGTGTCCTGGGTCACATTTGAAAAAATCGGATCTGTGTCGTTCAGACTGACATTAAAAGACAAGATACAGGTCACATAGGGGCCAAAAAATCGGATTTGGGTCACAGTCTGAACGCAGCCAATGCTCTGTTCCACCTTGTGATGTCATGAAGTGATAGCTTTCAAGTTAATAGCTACATTTTAGCTTTAGTTCAGTAGAGATGGGCAATTCCAGGGATGAAATTATCCAAATGATTCTAGTGAAGGTGTGTGGAGTTTAAAAACACAATGTATTACCACATGACATCACAAGGTGGAACACTGCGTCTCCAGTCTGAGAGAAGAACTCAGCCTGAATATGTGCAGGGTTTGTGTGTTAAACATGTGAAGGAAACAAAACACAAGTCCAGGTCTGTTTGTGATGAGGAAACATTCGAACATAGATCAGGAAATAGCGTCATATGAGCCCTTTAAGTTAAAATGTGATAAGAAAACAAGTTTCTTTTTGGTTAATATTAAAGTAGGACCATTTCAACACTTTAATCAATGCAATAATGCTTTCATTTGCTCACAAATTCTGTGAATTGCACAAAAATTCTAAATAATTATTCTAAAAAAAAAAAGCCCACTAGCCAAGAAAAGACTATTATGGTTTTAAAAGCATTGGTCTTAACATTGTCCATGCGTAATTTCACCTTATAACATTTTATATTTTTGTTATCCTTTCTCCAGAGGAATATGAATGCAATTTTATGTGAAAAAAATGAGTATTAGGCTATCAAAGTTGAAAATACACGTCTAAAATGCTAGCCTTTTAATAGTATTGCACAGATCTCCATATATTCACCAATTCGGCCTATGAGAGTTAATTTCCAAATACAACACTGCACCATAGCGTCTCAACCTCCTGACATCTCCATACTTCCCATCATGCATTTATACCCCCCTCTGAAACCCACAATCCAAGCCCGCGCTCCTTACCTGGCAGCCGGGGGAGGTAATGGCCACTCTCCCCGTAGCTGACAGCCGACGGCGGGGTGAAATTCCTGCAGTAGTCCGCCGTGCTGTGGGGGTGATGGTGGTGGTGGTGGTGGTGGTAGTACGTTGCATCCCCGGTCTTCAGCTGCAGCGCCATCATTGCACTCTCCTCCCCGACTGACAACTTCTCCTACTGCTCCAAAAACCGGGCGAGGAGCGGGGATGCGGGGAGGGAGGGCTGCCTTCACGCCATAGGACCGCTACCTGCTCCGGGGGGGTGGACCAAAACGCATTCCCAATCACAATTACGCACGAAATCGCTCAAACCCTTCGCTAATTCTCACGAAATATACATTCTATACACCAAACTATCACCGTAACGTTTCTTGGCTGCGTTTTTGCGCGTGTAATCCAGTAATTACGCTGGTTTTACGCACGCCCCCCCTCTTGCCGCGTTGGTACGGTCCGTTTCTAAAGTCACAGCATTGCATGGGTGGCAATCATGACACATGGAATAAATATGTTGCACCTCGATCGCGCCCGCGGATTGCCCAAGTCCGGCCCGCGTGTCACCCGCTGGCCACGCGCATGTTTGGGCAGCCGGTAGCAGGCGGCACCGGGGGGACTGGGGGGGACTGGGGCTCTGGTAAACCGAGGAGCGCGCTGAAAAGATGCGAGCAGCGACAATTAGTGGCAATAAGTGGCCACTGAGTGAAGAGGCAGTGTCAGATGTGATTCATGGAGCTATTAGGATAATTAACAAGAGGTGGGGCCCTATTGCATTTAGACACATACGTTCTAGTTTTAATGAGAACGTAGTTAAAGCCCTAGTATGTAACTTTTTGGCCACACACACTTAAATATAAGCATATTTTTTTCATCGTGTGTGAGTGTGTTTATTGCGCTCAAAAATGTAGAAAAACTCGTGTCCTTACTGAGCAGGCTTGCATCTCCACAAACCTGAATTTTATTTGACCTCCTGGTTGTTTCCATGGAAATGTTGTTCGTTTGGGTATAGCTTAATATACCACAGAATATGACATAAACACATCTGTCCCTTTGGAGAATGTTCCAAAGTGTGGTTTTAAATTTCTATTTCCATGGAAACATGCAGTTTACTTTAGACCCCCACACATTTTATGGTAAGAGAATACGTCACCTTTTTGTCTCCATGGAGATAATATTTCTTTATCTGGAATGTTCCACAATATGGCTTTGAACTGATCTATTTTGGATGTATTCAGTTACAGATGTCTGTTGTTGTTGTTGTTGTTGTTGTTTACCATGGCAAAAGGAAAAATTCAATTTGTCAACTGGACTAAATTTTGATGTGGTTGAATACATTTTGCAGCTCATTCAGGCTGCTTCTTCGGTTCTGGTCAGACGCTGGTGGATAATTCCTTATATCTGCCTGAAGGGAGAAGCTAACTACACTGAAACTACTCCAGAACTTTGACCAGAACTGAAGAAGCAGCTTGAAATGAGCTGTGAAATGTATTCAACCACATAAAACTTTAGTCCAGTTGACAAATTTAATTTCTTCTTTTGCCATGGATTCTACCTGGACGGCTGAGGGATTTTACACACGGTAATACTTTGAAAAACATTCTTACTGTGAGCAGGGGAGCCTCTCCACAGATCTGACCTGTAACTTGGACTGACAGCGTAACCTGGCAAGGCAGTAGCATCTCAGTGGAGACAAGAAGGTGTCAGACCCTCCACCCGAAAAGTTTCATCGTGCAGCTTTAAAAAATGCTCTGGGCTCTAACTGATGATGGTGAACAGAGTATCAAATTACAAAGCTAAATTCTCACACCAATATGGTTTATAATGAAAATTCTACAAAAAGCTGATTAAAAATAACAAATTGAACACATGGATACATGGAGATTGGGACGTTAGGACTTTGCCTATGTACATTTCCAAAGAGCCTAATACAAAGTGACGTTTCTGCACTTCTTTCTGTAATACATTCATTTCATATTTCCTTGTCAAATTTAAAGACACATTTTAGAACATTTCTGTCAGAATGTCAATAACTTTTCTGGTGACACTGAACATATCTAAGGATACAAAAGGTTGATGGACCCCACTCCAGAAAAGTTACACAGCAGACCTTCAATAATGAGCCAATTAGTCCAAGTCCCAGCCTGGTCTTAATTATGTCCCTGGCGTCACATTTATCCAACCACACGAGAACATTAACTGGATCTGATTGTCTGTTTGCCATTTGAACCTGATGACAGCAGACGACCTGGATGACAACTTTATAAACACATTTATGAGAAACTCTATCCATAATGGATTATATAATCGCCCTGTGGACTCTCATAGCCTTGACTGTGATGCAGTGAGTTCAATGAATGTGGATGTGAAGTAATCGCTATTAAATATTTAGAGTTGGCGCTCGTATATTACAAAGCATAAAACTGCATACATACACCACACATTACTGAATAAAAGATGGATTTTGTTACAGTGCTTGGAGCTTGCTGGAAGAGGTTTAGTGATGAGGAGGAGGGGTGGAAGAAGGACTCAGTTTTGTTATTGAAGTAGAAGTACAGTAAAAGTTTTGTCACTGAAGTAAAAGCAAAAAATACTCAAGTAAAACCAAAGTATGACCAGTGTTGGGAAGGAGACTTTTGAAATGTATTCCCCTACAGATTACAGATTACATACACCAAAATGTAGTTTGTAACGTAATCCATTAATTTACTTAAAGTGAGTAACGTAATCTGAATACTTTGGATTACTTGATATTGTCATTCTTTTTTAAACTACATGAATGTAGCAAACACATCCTGAAAATTCTTGTTTGTTCTCTTCAAATTGTCTGAGCCCAAGTTTCCATGAACAGACATTTGTTTGCTGTAGAGAAGCAAAACCTAGGATATTTTAACATGAGATATATTGTTTTGTCTGCTAAAAGACAATATAAAGCTCAGTCTTTCCTTAAGCAGATAAAAAATATTATTGATAGAGAAATTATTTTTATATGAGATCACTGCTGCCTTAAATTATGTCCACCTACTGTTAATGTCATGTTGTTTAGACCTGGTTTAGACCTGGTTTAGTCCTGGTTTAGTCCTGCCTTTAGATCTGGTTTAGTCCTAGTTTAGATGTGTCTGAGTCCTGGTTTTGTCCTGGTTTTAGACCTGGTTTAGTTCTAGTTTAGACCTGATTTTAGTCTTGGTTTTAGTCCTGGTTTAGTCCTGGTTTTAGTCCCGGTTTTAGTCCTGGTTTAGCCCAAAATGTGAAAACTGGAAAATACCACCCTGTAATCCATTTATCTCAACAAAGTAACTGTAATCCAATTACCACTCACTGAAACAGTAACTGTAACTGAATACATCTACTCATAATTTGTACTCTGATTACATAATGCCGGTACATGTAATCCGTTACTCCCCCCAACACTGAGTATGACTTAAGTAAAAGTATCAAAGTACTGTATTTAAAGGGTTAAAAGTAAAAGTATTTCATGCAGATTTTGAGATCTTAAAAAGGTTTCAAACTCAATGATTTTTGGTAAAGATTTGTGGTGAATTTTGTTCAACAGAAACAACTGAATCAAACTTTTTATTCTAGCTGTTTTGATTTTATTTGTTATATTTTTGTTTGCTCAGATTATAAATATATTAAAAATAACCCCTCAGTCTTTTCAGCAGGTCTCAAACTATAAGAAAAAGTACTTTAACTTTTCAGTTCTGTAAAAAAAATTGTAGTGGAGTAAAGTACAGATACTGCTCCCACATATCATGAAGTAAAAGTAAAAAAATCCACTTAAGCAAAACAATATCTAGGTAAGTTAAAATGACTTAAATTAAGAACATTTGACTTTATTTGAGTAGATTCAACTCAAGTAAAATGATCTACCAATGGAATAAATATGTTTTCATGCAACATTAATTCAAGCAACATTCGATTTTGTTTATTGTCATTGGAAAATGTTTATATTTTTCTTATTTTAAGTGTAACAAGATGTATTTTCAGATTTTAAGTACAAAAAGTCTTGTTCCACTGGCAGATCATTTTACTTGTCAAGTGAAATAGACTCAAATCATGTTAAAACTTTCTTACTTCAAGTCAGCTTAACTCGACTAGATTTAATTTTTTGCAGCATAGTAACTTTACTACTTTTATTTTGTTCTGTTCCTCCACTTGTGATGAGTGAAGCACCTGTTGGTGTGTTTTGGTAAAGGAGGAGATGGAGAGGCTGAGGAGGAGAAGGAGGAGGAGGAGGTGGTGGTGGTAACGTTATAGTCCTGAAATAGAAGCTTCGATGACCCTCTCGGTGACACATATTAAACATTTTGTCCCTTTGAGGTCAACGGAAAAGCTGGCTATGAGATATCCAAATCTGCATTGTGTAAGTAAAATGATGTAATTCTCTGGACCAGCCTGACAAACCGAGCGTGCCTGAGAAGAGCCGTGATGACTGACCACATGAATCAATCACACTCTCCAGGATACACATGACACACAAGACTCTGGTCTTTGTGCCAGTTTTTACTTCATGACGACAGGCCAAGACGCCTATAGGGTGACCAGAGTTTCAAAATCAAAAACTGGGCCACCGTCAGTTCAGGCTTGATAGTAATAAAATAGTGAAAAGAGCACATACACTTTTCTAGTGGAGGGTCTGCCACCTGCTTGTCTCCATGGAAATGTTTTGCTTTGTCTCAAGGGCGTAGGTTTGGTCTCAGCTTTGTTGGGGACCCCATGAAATCATCTGATAAGTTACTTGATTTGAATTATATAATATTGTTTACTTTTTGTATGATGCACACTGCAAAAACCAAGCTGCACATCTTTAGGGTCAAATTAGACAAGAAGTTGCGCATATGTTTTATGAATTCTTCCCAAAAAATTCTTCCCAAAAACACACAGAGTCTGGGCAGGTCCAAAATAAGTGATTGTCCTTCTTAAATGATTCTTTAGTGGATAACAGTGATGTGAAAATCACATTCTGTTGTCTAAAGAAAGAGTGTTTTTATTATCACCGTGGTATCTGAATCTGTATCGAGTACCAAGTCTCTTCCTAGTATGGAAATTGAGTTTGAAACCATGAAACCATCTGATACTTGATTAACAGATTAATGATATAATATTGTTTACTTTTGGTATGATGCACACTGCAAAAAACAAACAGCACATCTTTATAAGAAAGGGTCAAATGGGATAAGAACTTGCGTATATGTTTTATTCCAAAAACACACAGAGTCTGGGCAGGTCCAAAATAAGTGAGAGGTGGTTTCATTTTTCAGTTTGTGTCCACTGTCCTTCTAAGATGATTGTTTAGCAGAAAACAGCGATGTAGAAGTTTATAGCAGATTTCTCTTTGTTTGTTGATGATGAGATATTTGTGAGGTTATGTCCGTACATTTTTCCATAGAATATTGTCAGTAGAGTCGGGGTCTCACAGAGCACGAGTCGGGCTCTGTTTGGGAGGTGCACTTGTGCTGATAGTCGCTCTTTTTCTACGGCGACTCATTATAAGACGAGTTTAACTGAAGATGAAGCCAAGTAAGTTCCTTTTGAAAAGTTTTTCAAAGTTTGGTGGAGCGTCTTCACTCACGTCTGTTCAAGTCGACATCTTCAGGTGCGGCCCTGTCCTGCCACTTCCCCAGTTTAGGCTCCTGGCTCCACTAATGACATCAATCTGTTACAGCTAATGAAACAGCGTCAGGTGTAACCCTGTCGTCATATCATTGAATACATCTCAGAACGTCTAATAAACAAAATGTGAACTAAAATGTGTTCAGTTAATACTACTGAGTTTGGAAAAATATCAGAATAAATGTATATTTTTGTTTATTAAAATAAAATGGCAAATATTTGTAGGAACTATTTTGTCTTCCCCAAATATTGGTTGTGACATGTCCCCACTGTCCCTATGCAAACATACACCTTTACTTTGTCTTAAATGTTCCACAGTATACATCAAACCTGTTTATCACGAGGGAGACAAGCAGGTTTCAGCATTACTCTGCATTACAGTTCAGATCTGTGGAGAGTCCGCCATCTTCACAGAAGGAATTACTGTATTTTTGAGTAATAGAAACACCCGTGAATAAATGCTAGATGGATATGTTTAAAGCAACAACAATTCCACAGAGACAAGTATGTAGTGGACCCTCCAAAAAAGATGCACAGTGCACCTTGAAGGAAAATAGTTACGCACTCGGTTCATTCATGACATATTGACGATAAAACCTGTGATCACCTGAAACAACACAGTCAGAGCAGTTGAGTTCTTTGTGTTCTGGCCATTTTCAAGCTCTTTTTTCTGTATTTTGGCTAAACAAATGACTGTATTTCCCCCTCTTTATTCTTGGAAAGGATCAGTTTGGTAAAAAATAGAGACACCTGGGATATTTCTTGTATAAAAAAATAAGACAAATCACGGGTTTTTGTTTAAATCTGCTGGAACAGGGCTCAAGTAGGCAACAATTTACCCCATGAATACTTTCCCACACAGCCCCATTGTACATTTATTTTTCTTAAATTGTGTCGTGAAGTTTCAATAGGCCCATCTGAATCCAACGTATCATGAGTTATAACCTACTTTTTGACATTTTTGACATTCTCTAACATCTGTTCTTGTAATTCTCTGTTGCAACTTATTTTGGCAATGACATTTCCTCATTGTGAAATGACCTGGAACCATAACGATTTGCATATCTTCAAAAGCCAAACACTGCAGGTGAATAGGAAAAAATCTTAAATTTAGAGATACTAGTCTGAAACGTCTTTATTCTGCTCACATAAAGGTAAGAAAAATTTAATTACAAGATTTTCACCATGTAATGCTTTCATATAAAAAGAAGGCATTTTATGTGTAAAACGGACAAAAATTCAAATTCAACACAGAAACATGAAAAGATTTTGTAGTGTTATCTTAGGAGGTATTTATGTAAACTAAATCTGACTAAAAACTTCTAAAATTTTGATTTAAAACTGAATCAGATATGGAATTAGATATCAAAAATCTTTCTGTATGTTTGATCTGAATATTGTTAAGTACAAGACTGTACAGTTTGGTGTGTGTAGGTGAGACTTTACAGGCTGATCCTTATGTGCCGATGGGAGTAAAATGCAGTTTGTGAAAACGGCTGTTGAATTTACAATGCCCCATATAAATCCATAGCTGCAAGTTATTTAAATTAAATATTAAAACAGCTTGCGGTGCAGAGTGGACAGTTTTTCTGTTTCCACATAAATGCTTATATGCTAAAAGACCAAACTGGAAAATATGTATATGTATAAAATCCTGCACTGTCTCCTTAAAGGTACACTGTGGATCTTTTCTCGTGGAGGGTCCTCTACCTGCTTGTCTCCATGGAGATGTTATTGTTTTGTCTGGGATGTCCCAGTATGGCAATACATGTATCCATCTTGCATTTACAGTACTCAGTAACATGGGGTTTCATTTACCTAAAAACTTGCAATCTTACTGTGAGTGGGCTTGCCTCCCCACAGATCTGACATGTAACGTTGCCTTGTAGTGTCACCTGCTGTCTCCAGATAGAAAACTAAATGTAATGCCATACTGTGGAACATTCCAGGCAGCATCTCCATGGATAAAAGCAGGTGATGGACTCTCCACCAGAAAAGTTACACAGTGGACTAGTGTGTGCAAAAATATCAAAATATCATATCGTTTAATGTGATAATATAGTATTGATATTGTGGGCTGCTGTATCGATATATTGCCAAAAGTATCTTTTGGTATATTTTATTAAATAATTTTGTTACAGTGCGACAGTTTTGTTGCTTGTTTAGAGGAAGGAAACTCGTTTATGCAACACATTTGACATTTTCACTGTCCTGATAATTAAACTGGGTGTGTTTCATATGAACATTACACAAGACGTGGTTTAACAAAGACTTTTAGCATCACAACCATGATTTAGCCTTTATTTTTTATTGAACCATATTGAATCAATTTGAAATATACCAATTTCAATTCAATTAAAAGTGCACTGTATCGAGATATGTATTGTATCGTGGCTTATGTATTGAGGTATGTAACATATCGGCAACTTCAATGATACCCAGCCCTACAGTGGACCTTTACACCGGGTCTAACATCTGCAATATGACAGATTCATCAGCTCATTTTACTCCACTGTCACCCTCAATATGACAAGCCAACTTTGTCTGAATACTGTTACTTGTATTTCAAACTTACTGATAACTAATGTTGTAATGGTTATGCTTAAGGCTTGGTATCATTAAGAAGTTGACGATCCGATACATACTTAGGCCACAATAGGATGTGCTTTTCGATACAGTGCACTTTTGATTCAGTACGATTCAATATGATATATTTCAGATGGATTTGATGGGTTTCAAAAGCCAAATCATGGCTGTGATACTAAAAGTTTATTAAGTCTACTCAGTCCACTGAGTTTGTGCAAAGTTAATATGAAAAACACACATTTTTGTGAGATTGTGACATTTTCAAGCTCTTTTTAATGTATTTTGGCTAAACAATGACTGTATCTTCCCTTCTTTATTATCGGCGAGGATCAGATTGTTCAAAAATAGGGACGCCTGGGATATTTCTTGTATAAGAAATTAGACAAATTACAGGTTATGTTTAAATCTGTTACCTGTTACATAAGGGTGAGTTGTACCGTTGTAGTGAGTATTATCTGTTACATAAAGATGAGTTGTTGTACAGTTGTAGGGAGTATTATCTGTTATATAAGGGTGAGTTGTACCGTTGTAGTGAGTATTATCTGTTACATAAAGATGAGTTGTTGTACAGTTGTAGTGAGTATTATCTGTTATATAAGGGTGAGTAGTTGTACGGTTGTAGGGAGTATTATCTGTTATATAAGGGTAAGTTGTTGTTCAGTTGTAGGGAGTATTTTTTGTTACATAAGGGTGAGTAGTTGTACGGTTGTAGGGAGTATTATTTTTTACATAAGGGAGAGTTGTTGTACAGTGGTAGGGAGTATTATCTGTTACATACAGTTGTAGGGAGTATTATCTGTTACATAAGGAAGAGTTGTTGTACAGTGGTAGGGAGTATTATCTGTTACATACAGTTGTAGGGAGTATTATCTGCTACATAAAGGTGAGTTGTACAATTGTATGGAGTATGGCATAAATGTAGTAGAATGTGTAATATTTCATTTTTTTTATTTTTTATTCTGTTTTCTTTTATTTATTTATTATAATTAATTGGATTGTTTGCATCACTGTCTGTTCTTGTATGCTATTTTTTATGCTTTTTGTATTGTTCTTTTCTACTTGTACAGCACTTTGTAAAGCTTGTTTTAGTGCTGTATAAATAAAGATTTTTTAAAATTATTATTATTATGAACAGCTGTGTATATCCCTCATTAGCAGCCCTTAACCCCCGTGTGTGTGTATGTGTATGCGTGTGTATGGTTGTGTGCAGTCTCCTTCCTCCGTGTGGCCGTACATGAGGCGTGTGCTCCGGGAGAGGGAGAGAGGGAGGGCCGCCCCAGAGCCAGACGGAGCGTGGCTGCTTCATTTGTCGCATCAGCCTGCCCCAAAACATCCCCCGCTCCTCCGCTCAACATGCCTCTCTCTCGGGCACACTCACCGGGAAAATAACCCTCTTCCTCCCCCTCGACCACGGGACCGATCCTCCAGCAGCTGCCGTGGCCTCGCTCCGTCCGCACGCCGGGCTCTGAGGGGGGCAACGCGGCTAGGAACACCCCGCTTCGCCCGGTGTGTGGTTCGGCTAGCGGCGAGAGCTAACCGCGTTTAGCCGGGGAGGAGGCTGAGGAGAGCGGGTAATATACCTCCATACCTGCACCGGGAAGGATCTGCCTGCATCCATGTGACAGTACAAAGGTTAGTCTAACATATTTTAACCCAAAAATATACCTTATATTGAATGTTATAGCTGCGTTTTTTATTTAGATTAACCAAAAGAGGGATGACAGATCGGCTAGCAGTTAGCATGTTTAGCCTCATGTGTTTGTATGGATCAACAAGGGTATGACAATGTATTAGTAGCGGTAAAAGAATTTTATAATCAAAACACACATTCATTAAATTGTAATTAAAAGGGCGTATTTCTAAGCTGCATCTGCCAAGTTATATTATTTATAACTTGTTTACTGCCTTTATATAAATCTTCAGTGCTCATGTCATGTTGTTGTCATCTTTAAACATGCTTCAGTGCCAGTGTTTATGCAAAGCAAAAATTTGATCATTATCCGATTTGTGGCGTTATCAGATTACTGAAATGTCATGTAAACAGTTGTATCTGTTTTGAGTATCTGTATGTGTGATTGTTTACATCTGTGCAGGGAAATTATGCAAAATGGGCAAACTAATGTGTCAGTAATATAAATGAAAGAGAAACTATGAAAGATGGGGAACTGAGAAATGGACTTTGTTTCCGTGTATCACAGTTGTCAGCAGATGTTTTTAATTATTGTATTTCTGTGCATATAAACACAGCAAAAATCAGATCTAATTATTGCGTTATCTGATTATTCCAGGTATCTTATTTTTACTGGTCATGGACTTGTACCCACTCACAGCCTGAAGATGGATTGAAGTGCATGGAGGCGCTGTCCCATTGTGTGAATAGGACGACTGCTTTGTCAGGTATGCCTCCTGGATTCTTCTAAGGCGTGTTATCATCCTGTTTGGGCAATGTTTTCTTTCCTTTGTGATTCTGCAGAGACGAATCAAAACTCATAGTACTCGTAATTGTTGTATAACTCTCTACTACTGGCCAAGCCCTGTCTATGCTACAAACATGTAATTATGACAGATTACAAAAGCATTTAACCACTGGTATAAAACAACACATAACAATGGAGCTATATTTAGAAATGAATAACAAAGTATACGTGTTTTTATTGGTAACTAATATTGTGTTTACAACTACAGATGAGTAATGCTTCCTGTTTTGAACTGGTTGGTTCTCATGTCTTTGGTAATGACATTGATCAGGGGTTCAATTCCCAATGTGAAGTTACAGAACAGTGAAGTGATAGAGTATTTTTTCCCAATGTTTAAAGGGCTCGTATTACTCTATTTTCTGGTCTAGGTCATAATGTTGTTTCCTTATCAAAACATATCTTGAGTTGTAATTTGTTTCATTCACACATGTTTAACACACAGATCCTGCATTTAGGCTGAGTTCTTCTGTCACACTGAAAACACTGTTCCACCTTGAGATGTCATGTGGTAATAGAACTCCAGGCTCCTTCACTAGAATCATTTGGATTATTTCAGATCTGGAATTACCAATCTCTACTGAACAAAAGGTAAAATGTAGCTGTTAACTTGAACCTACAGCTGCATGACATCACAAGGTGGAACAGAGCATTTTGGGCTTTGGAGATGTGCGTATGTATGAACGGTACTAAACATACAACAATTCCAGGTATGTTTTTGGTGTGGTAACAACATTCTAACATAGCTAAAAGCTCACAAGAGTCAATTTTGCTTAAAATAGGACCCTTAAGTCTGTGGCTTGATTTTTGATAAAGTTGTGAAATGCAAATATTCATTCAAACTAACAGGGAATTTTAAAGATTGCTAGTTGCATTCATACTTGTACATTCCACATCAAAACTGGTACTAAACCAGATCTAAATCTGGACTGGAACAGGACTGAAGCAGGATTTGAAAAGGGCCAAACCAAGTCTACATAAGGACTCAGCTGGGACTAAACTAGGGTTGTCAAAAGTATCTTGAATACTCATGATACTAAACTCATGATACTAAAAAAGTCACATTGACAGGACAGGAATGAAGCTTTCCTGAATGTCTTTAGAATGATCTGGAGCTGTATCAGAACAAATATAAGAGCACATAGAAAAGTATATGCCCACGGACCATTATGGAACCTACCTGGACCACTGAGGGATTACACACATATAAGAGCACATGGGAATAGAAAAGAAAGTACTATGATCATTCTCACATTCTATTGTCTAAGTAAAGTTTTTTTTAATTATCATTGTGGTATTGGAATCGATATTGAGTATCTAGTCTATTCCTTAGTATCGAAATTGAGTTTTAAACTTTAGTATTGTGAGAACACTGGACCAAACCAGAACTAGGACTATGACAAGACCAAATCAAGACTATATGAGGACTAAACACGGAACTAAACCTGGGCTCGACCAGGACTAAACCAGGCCTAGAACAGTACCAAACCAGCTCTATATCATGACTAAAGCAGTATCAACCCAGGACCAAGACAGTGAAGCGTATCCAACATTAGGGTTAGAATATAACCACTAAATCTTTTAAACTACTTTGTATTGTTAGTTGTGTATATCAAAGGTACACTGTGTAACTTTTTGTTTGGGAGTTCGTCAGCTTCCTTGTTTCTATGGAGATGTCATTGCTCTGGAATGGTCCACAGAATGACATTAAACAGCTCTACCTTACGTTTTTTTTTAAAATTACATTTGGTTTTATAGCTCAAAAATACCTAGAAAAACAGGCATTCTGACTGTGAGCGGGGCTGCCTCTCCACAGTTCTAACCTGTAACTTGGTCTGGTTTGGTCTTCATGAAGATAGAAATGTTTCACAGTATGGTATTAAACCTAAGACTAAGCAGTAACATGTTCATGGAGAAAAGCATTTGATGGACCCTCTACCAGAAAAGTGACACAATGCACCTTTAAACCTTATTTAGATGCAGTAGTTGGTCTCATGTTCTTCTCTGATGGTAGCTCCATGTTTAGTGTTCTGTGTTCTCTTGGTTCCTCTGTATTCCCTGTATTTGTGGTTATTTGTTTTTAGAGTGCGTTTGTGCGCAGGCCAGAGTCTCCCCCTCCCCACTTCCTGTGTTTTGAGGAAGCGTCCTCTTTTGTCCCGAAGGCCGTATCTGCATCCTGATCAGGCTCAGCAGCGCTCAATGGGTGGATTGTTTCAGCTCAGGCTCAAACTAAATCACACTGTTTTCGCTCACTTCAAATACTTCTTTAGATCACTTCTTCTTCTTCATAAATAATGTATACTTTTGTAACTTTACAGCAAAGGTTTGTGTGTTCCAACTGTATCGCTACTTCAACCAGACTTGTTCTCCTGATTAGTTAAAGATCCACTGTGTAACTTTTAAGGCAGAGGAGTCATTGCTCTGCCTGGAATGTTCTACAGGACATTAAACTTATCTGTCTCCATGGCGACAAGTGGGTGATGGCGCCTGTTATTGGTCAAATCTGTGGAGATGTGAGTCCAGTAAAAATGCCTGTTTTTCTTAAGACTAAAGCACTTGTTTGAATAAAAGCTTGATTAATAATGCCATAACAGGGAACATTTAAAGAAAAAACAAAACAACCTTAATACTACACAGTGTTCTTTTAATATCAACCATTTCTTAAATGGCAAAGGATCATGTTCTATGTCAGCGGTCCCCAACCTTTCTTGCACCATGGACCGGTTTAATATTAGATGATATTTTCACAGTCCGGCCTTTTAGGTGTGGCGGATAAATTAATAAAAAACTCAGATTTTGCAACTTGTGGGTTTAATATTAACGTTAATCACGTGACTGACACAGGCATCTTGACATGAGTCAAAAGTGAGTCAAAAGTCAGTCTTAGATTGATGTAACGGAGAGAATTTGGTCATTTTTCAAAATAAAACCTTGTTCACACTCGGTTAATAAATAAAACGGAATGTATTTATGCTTTCTGTGCAGCCTGGTACCAAATGGCCGCACAGAGGCCGCTACCAGTCCCCGGCCTGACTGTTAGGGACTGCTGCTCTGTGTAGTTGCCTCTGCTTTACTGTTAGCAATACATTTAGGCTCTGGCAATAGTGTTATATGATATGGCAGTGTTATATGATAGTGTTATATGATATTTTATTTATTTATTTGGTGATACAGTGATCATAATTGTGGGCTACTGTATCTATATATCACCACAAGTATTTCTGGGTATCTTTTAGCAATTTTGACCATTTTGTTGCTTATTTAGTGTAAGGAAACTTGTTTATGGAATACACTTGACATATTTGACACTATGTTGATGAATAAAATAGTTGTATTTATATTAACTTTGAACAAGTAGTGATTTAACAAAGAAATATTGTTGCTAAAATGTATTTGGTTTATAAAGGTGCACTAAGTAACTTTTTCAATTGGGGGTCCATCACCTGCTTATTTCTATAGACACAGCATTGCTCTGCCTGGAATGTTCCACAGTGTGACATTAAACAGCTCAGCCTCGCATTTATTCACTTACAGGTGCTTTTATAACTCAAAAATGCCTAGAAAAACAAACATTCTGACTGTGAGTAGGGTCACGTCTCCACAGATCTGACCTGTAACTTTGGTCTCCATGAAGATAGAAAGAATAAGTAACATACTGTGAAAACGTATTGTGAGCTGTGTATCGAGTATCATATTGAGCCGCGAGGACTCTGTGATTCCCAGCCCTAGATTTGCATATTTCTTCAGTATGTAATAGTTTTTCCACTTATTGTCCATTTACACATATTTTGGTTGAGTATTGCACAATTGCCCCATGTGTTTCCCTCTCTCGCGCTGCCTTTGGGGTGAGTTCACATTCAGAGGACTCACCACAAACACTGTGACTCAGCCTCACAGTGACACATGCTGCCCCCTGTGGCCAGAGGGGACATTTCGGACACACACTCATAGCCAAAAACAACAGACTGGTCACAGCTAAGGAATTACACAGAGAAAAAAACACGTCTAGAGCTGTGCTGGACTAAAGAAATCCTCGGTCCACTAAAGACATTCAAAACATTACAGCTGGACCAGAGAATAGAAATTAGCACTAGCAGCTAAAGTGTAAGTAAGAATTATATCATTCACGGATTTAACCACCAACCTGTCAATCACTAATAAATGAAGTTGCCAAAGCAGTATATATTCTTTTTGTTGATTTAAGGGTGCACTCTTATTTGTACTTTAATTTTGATGTAGACTTGGTTTGGTCCTGTTTTAGTCCTGGCTTAATCCTAGTCTAGTCCTGGTCTAGTTTTGGTTTAGCCCTGTTCTAGTCCTGGTTTAGTCCTGGTCTTTTCCTGGTTTAGTCCTGTTCTAATCCTGGTTTAGCCCTGGTCTAGTCCTGGTTTGGCCGTGGTCTAGTCCTGGTCTAGTCCTGGTCTAGTCCTGGTCTAGTCCTGGTTTAGCCCTGGTCTCATCCTGGTTTAGCCCTGGTCTAGTGCTGGTTCAGCCTTGTTCTAGTCTTGGTTTAGCCCTGGTCTAGTCCTGGTTCAGCCCCGGTCTAGTCTTGGTTCAGCCCTGGTCTATTCCTGGTGTAGTCCTGGTTTATCCCAGGTCTAGTCCTGGTTTGGCCCTGGTCTAGTCCTGGTTTAGCCCTGGTCTAGTTCTGGTTTAATCATCTTCTAGTCCTGGTTTAGCCCTGATCTAGTTCTGGTTTAGTCCTGGTTTAGCCCTGTTCTAGTCCTGGTTTAGCCCTGGTCTCATCCTGGTTTAGTTCCAGGTATAGACCTAGTTTAGTCCCAGTTCTAATGTGGTGTAAGTGTGAAGTGTGAATACTGTTACAAAAAAAAGAAAATATTATTTTCCAGTAAAGATTTACATAGTTCTTTTTTTATTTCACAAACCTTCAAAATGATTCTCTAATTCTGGAAAGGCTTTATTTTCTAAATCTCACAGCTCTTTTTATTGTTTGTTTTTGTCATTACTGTGAAAAGAAGACGTAAGCTGCAGCATGTTGTAAATCTTCTGCCCTCTCTCTTTGTATTTGAGGGAAAACACTCTGGAGGTTGTTGGGTTCATCGTCTCCTGCTCCTGACAGTTTAGTTCAATGTTTCTTCTCTTGTCTCATGTTATTGTCTATGCAAATGGCCCACCTGTCCTATAGTCCACATGAGATACTGTCTGTTGGCCCTGAAGCAAACTGCAAGCAGGAGCTCCACAAAGAACTTTTGTGCTAGAAACAGGTAGAGAAATAATTGAAAAACTTTGTGTGAAAGAGCGGAGCATGAAAAACAAGTTACAGATATTGAATGTAAAGGTAGAGTTTTTGTAGTTTGAAATTTTGGTAACAATTAATAATAACTACACCTTAATTAGCCTTAATACAGCATGAAGAAAGACTTAGTTCATAGCTCTGGTCTCGTCCTGATTTAGCTCTGTTCTAGTCCTGGTTTAGTTCTGTTCTAGTCCTGGTCTAGTCCTGGATTAATCCTGATCTAGTCCTGGTTTAGCCCAGGTCTAGTCCTGGTTTAGTCCTGTTCTTGTCCTGGTTTAGTCCTGGTTTATCCCTGGTCTCATCCTGGTCTAGCCCAGGTCTCGTCCTGGTTTAGCCCAGGTCTCGTCCTGGATTAATCCTGATCTAGCCCTGGTCTTGTCCTGGTTTAGCCCTGGTCTAGTCCTGGTTTAGTTCTGATCTAGCCCTGGTCTAGTCCTGGTTTATCCCTGGTCTCATCCTGGTCTAGCCCAGGTCTCGTCCTGGTTTAGCCCAGGTCTCGTCCTGGATTAATCCTGATCTAGTCCTGGTTTAGCCCTGGTCTAGTCCTGGTTTAGTCCTGTTCTTGTCCTGGTTTAGTTCTGATCTAGGCCTGGTCTAGTCCTGGTTTACCCCTGGTCTCATCCTGGTCTAGCCCTGGTCTCGTCCTGGTTTAGCCCTGGTCTCGTCCTGGTTTAGCCCTGGTCTCGTCCTGGTTTAGCCCTGGTCTCGTCCTGGTTTAGCCCTGGTCGTCGTCCTGGTCCTGGTTTAGCCCTGGTCTTGTCCTGGTTTAGCCCTGGTCTCGTCCTGGTTTAGCCCAGGTCTCGTCCTGGATTAATCCTGATTTAGTCCTGGTTTAGTTCCGTTCTAGTCCTGGTTTAGCCCTGGTCTAGTCCTGGTTTAGTCCTGTTCTTGTCCTGGTTTAGTTCTGATCCAGCCCTGGTCTAGTCCTGGTTTAGCCCTGGTCTAGTCCTGGTTTAGCCCTGGTCTAGTCCTGGTTTAGTCCTGTTCTTGTCCTGGTTTAGTTCTGATCTAGCCCTGGTCTAGTCCTGGTTTATCCCTGGTCTCGTCCTGGATTAGCCCAGGTCTTGTCCTGGTTTAGCCAAGGTCTTGTCCTGGTTTAGCCCAGGTCTTGTCCTAATGTAGCCCTGGTCTATTCCTACAGTCCCTGACAAAAGTCTTGTCACTTATCCATTTTGTAGAAACAAAAGCTTATAACCTGACTTTAAATTAATCGATTGGTTTTAGAAATGTCTCATATGAAAGCTAAAACCCTCCCAAATTATGCTCAATATTCTAAAATAAATTTGCTTCACTGAAGAAAGATTGATCATTTAATGAACACAGAAAGGTCAGATTTTGGCAAGACAAAAGTTTTGTCGCCTACAGAAAATTGAACAAATAATTTACTTCAAATACAAAAATATGTTGCATAACGTCAGTGAATGAAGTAGTGGTGCTGTGAGATCCAGATTTAATATCTTGTATGACTTCCATGAGCTTGAAGGACACATCCATGTGGTTCGACAATGATTCATACTATTTGTTGATGAAGTCATCAGGAATAGCAAAGAAAGCAGTTTTACAAGTTTTTACACTCCCAGAGTTCATCAAGATTCTTTGGTTTTGCCTTCCATGCTTCCTCTTTCATTCTACCCCAGACATGCTCAATGATGTTCATGTCTGGTGACTGGGCTGGCCAGTCCTGGACCACCTTCATCTTCTTCGCCTTGAGAAACTTTGATGTAGAGATAGAAGTATGCGATGGAGCACCATCCTGCTGCAAAATTTGACCCCTTTTATGGTTGGGAATGTAAGAGGAGCTAATACTTCTTGATATTTTAGGTTATTGATATTTGCCTTCCACCCTGCAAATGTCTCGCACACCCCCATACTGGATGGAACCACAGACCATGATTTTTCTGCCACCAAACTTAACTGTTTTCTGGGTGAATCTTGGATCCATGTAGGCTCCAGTAGGTCTCCTGCAATATTTGCGGTGGCTGTGATGTAATAATTCAACCGAGGATTCATCTGAGAAATCCACCTTCTGCCACTTTTCCAGTGTCCATCCTTTTAGCAGGCTGTGGACCTTGGCAAATGCCACATGTTTTTTAATTGCCTTTTGTTTAGTGCTGGTTTCTGTGCACTGATTCGACCATGGAGGCCATTTCGAGACAGAATTCTACAAACTGTTGTGGTTGACACAGGGACTTGAGGTGACCAGGCCTGGTGGAGTCTGCTGCAGTGGAAAAGGGGCTGGCCTTGGATTTTCAAATCAACAAACGGTCCTCCCGAGCAGTTGTCTTGCGGGGTCTGCCGGACCTGGGCTTGTCAAAAACATCTTCAGTCATTTCAGATCTTTTTCTTATTCTTTGTACTTGACGCTGAGACACATTGAAGGTGTCACCACCTCAGCAGTGGATCTGGTCTTCAGCCTCTTGATAATTAACGCTTTGGTCTCAGGGTGGATCTTAGGCATGTTGTCAGAGGTCAAGTTGCAGTTGATGTGAAGGTCTGGTGTGCTGGGCTTCTTTTTATACACACCCACTAATTGATTGATCAGTAACTGATCACAGGTGAGGCTGTAATCTAGGATTGGGTGCATCATATGACAAGGCCACAAGACTTTTGTCAAAATTTGACCTTTCTGTGTTCATTGAATGATCAATCTTTCTTCAGTGAAGCAAATTTATTTTAGTATATTGAGCATAATTTGGGAGGGTTTTAGCTTTCATATGAGACATTTCTAAAACCAATCGATTTAATTTAAAGTCAGGTTATAAGCTTTTGTTTCTACAAAATGGATAAGCGACAAGACTTTTGTAAGGGACTGTAGTGTAGCCCAGGTCTAGTCCTAGTGTAGCCCAGGTCTAGTCCTAGTGTAGCCCAGGTCTAGTCCTAGTGTAGCCCAGGTCTAGTCCTAGTGTAGCCCAGGTCTAGTCCTAGTGTAGCCCAGGTCTAGTCCTAGTGTAGCCCTGGTCTAGTCCTAGTGTAGCCCTGGTCTAGTCCTAGTGTAGCCCTGGTCTAGTCCTAGTGTAGCCCTGGTCTAGTCCTAGTGTAGCCCTGGTCTAGTCCTGGTTTAGCTCTGGTCCAGCACTGGTCTAGGACTGGTTTAGTCCTGTTCTGGTCCTGATTTAATTGAATGTAAAGGTAGTACTTTTGTAGTTAGAAATTTTTGTAACAATTAATAATAACTACACCTTAATTAGTCTTAATAAAGCATGAAGAAACACTTAGTTCATAATGAAGAAACAGTTTGTTAAAAATGATTAAGGCTTAGCGATTTCTCAATGAATATATTTGAACCATAGACTGTATAAAGAAGTAGACCAAGGGAGTGTGACTTCACCCACAACTTCCGGCTTCAGTCAAATTAAGCTCTTCGACACTTGCGGTTATAGAAGTGAATTGGAAGCGAATTTGGAGTTCTTTAGTAGAAAAAAGAATTCATTTACCGTCAAAATAAAGAAATAAAAACACCAGGATCTTGTAGAGCCAGTTAATACGAACATGATTTTGATTATTTTCTTCAGATTCTGTAATTCACATTTACTACAAACTCACCTACTCACCTACAAAACCATAAGAGAGCTGTGTAGTTGCATTTTGTGCAGTTTTCTCTTCACATTAAAGTGTAAAAATAAAGATTTGTGTGTATTCCTTAGGCAGCAGGTGAGCCAAAACAAAACATCACCTGGAGATTTAAGACAGATAGCTGATACACAAAAAAATAGGGATATATCAATACCCAAATCCCACGGTACGACATTTTCAGGATATACATCTCAAGGTATAATATTTATTGCAATATTTTGTGGAATCTAACAAAACTGTGAATACTCTACATTTTCCTCTTAAAATGCCTTGACAAGACTTAACTAAGATCTAAAAGTGCTTATAACAGTTATTTCTTATTGTAGTCTGCACTGGAACAGAGCAAAGGATCATGGTCTAGTTAGTTCCGTCTGTTTTTTGCTGCATTGCGATTGCTGCATAACTATTAATTTAAGCAAAGAGACTTGTAATTCCATATATTATGATGGTCCAAGATATTACTGTGAGACCTTTTTGGTTATTGTTACATCCCTACTAAAAAGCCCAAATATCTCTAATCATTTTGTTCACAGATCTATATCTTTTTCTTGCAGGTTGAGTTTTTGGTCCCTTCTCTCTGCGGTGGCGAGACTCAGAGGGAGAGATGCCTCCACGGCCGTCCTCCGGAGAGCTATGGGGGATCCACCTCATGCCCCCCAGGTACAGTGTATACAGTAACAGACAGAAGAGGATACTGTGTTGACATTATAATGAATCAAGCGAGAGCTACCGTTACCAAAGTCTGTAGCCTTGTGCCCCTGTCAAAGATGTCACCTGCACTGAAAAAAAAGGTTGCTGGATTTGCCTAAAAACGTTATGGAAAGCGGTTGCATGCAATAAAATGATGTTTAGGCTTTGAAACTTATTTCGATTTCCTCTACACATATTTTTCTCAGAACATAAATGTCACTTTTACATGTTGATGAAATTTGATCAATTCATGCTGAATATGCATATTTATCTTATGTTACCTTATGGTGAAATGTATAAGTATGTATAATTTAATTTAATTGATCTAATTCTGTAAAATAATACAAAAACAGTCTTTAGTTTTCCACAGTTCTGTATTGTCTTAATAGAATCAAACATACAGAGGGCACAAGTACAGAGACACACAGTTTGGAGCTGGACAGTGTGAAGATTTATTCCAGTGAAGACACTCTGGTCTCTGCCTGTGGACACACGAATAACACACGATGATCACATAAGCCATGTTTCCTCAACCTGATTAAAAACCTGATTAAAACATGCAGATCTAACATCAGCCACAATCAAGTGACCTTTGTAAGATTTAAACATGCTGGACAAAGAAATGTTAAAAAGTCATGTTATTGTTGTCAAATTATTTTTTGCAATTTGAGCAACCCCTCTCGGACCATTTTTTCAGTGTGTATTCAGAAGATTATTTTCATGTAAAATGTGTCACGACAATATTGTAGTGTACTGTATGTACTGTATAATGACTAGGAATGGTACAAGATCTCATGCCATAAGATCTCTTAAGATAGAATTTCCACAAAATTGTGCACACATGAGAAAAATGATCTTGTGAGATTTTTTTTCCATGTGTTTATTTTTGGATTGGACCGAAAATGGTCACATGTTGCTGAGTTACATCTCTTACAGATGTTCCAAAAAGCACTAGTAGAATGGAAACAAAAATAGGTAATCAAATAAATAAAAAATTGTGAGGCCAAAACTGAATCGTGAAATGTATATACTTGGAATTATGTTAAAGTCTCGTCTTGTCTCGTTCTCGTGGACCCAATCTAGTATCTCGTCTCGTGTGGAAAAGTCCTGTCCCTAGTACTGAAAAAATTCAACTGTAGTAGCAAAGGTTTTAGATGACAATGTTTTTGAAATAATTATAATATAATACTAGATTTATTTGTATATCAATTTGACAGAGTTGCAAAGTGATTTACATACAGTTAAATAAGCAGGCATAAGGCACAGATTAAACCAGGACAATACAAAATAAAAATATCTGTGCTGTTGTAAAAAATAGCATTCTATGTAAGTGTGTTTTAACTTGGATTTAAAAGAGTTTAAAGAGTCAGCTTTTCTTAGTACCTCAGGTAACAAATACCAAAGCTTTAGGGTTCTGATATTGAGTTATTTGGCTACCATTCACAATACTCTTGGATAAATAATTATATTGACCAGAGTTCCTGTAGTCATTTTCATGAAATACTAATTCAAGATCCCTGTAAAGTGTATTTCAAGATTTTATGTGCTTATGTGTAAAGGAGCACAGTTCCTCTTTGGCCACTCACGCCTCACTGATCTAGGCCATGGCTTTCTGAAGTGTGGGTTACAAGATCATTTTTTGATCAAATTTAAGGGGCACATATTATTATTATATATATTATTTTATGATCTATGTTATAAAGTTGTTTCCTCATCACAAACAGACCTGGAGTTGAGTTTTGTTTCATTCACACATTTTTAACACACAAACCCTGCATATTTAGGCTGAGTTCTTCTTCAAACTGAAAACACTCTGTTCCACCTTGTGATGTCATGTGCTTAAAAAAGGATGTGCTCCATCGTGTTTTTATACTCCATACACCTTCTCTAGAATCATGTGTGTGATTTCAGCCCTGAAATTACTGATCTCTATTGAACTAAAGGTAAAAAGGAGCTGTTAACATAAAAACTATGACATCACAAGGAGCTTTGGAGCTTTGGAGAAGTAGGCAGGATAATAATAAAAGAGTACTCAAGTGTGCATGAAACAAAACACAATTCCAGGCCTGTTTTTGAGGAGGGAACAACATTGTAACATGGCTTAAAGCTCACAGGAGTCAATTTTGCATAATATAGGACCTTTAACAATATCCTAATAACAATGCATTAAACAAAAAATGCAATAAATCTCATTCTCTGGTTCAGGATCCTGGTGGACTGTCTCCTTCCCAATGGTATGATCCTGACTCTGGAGTGTCTCAGAGAAGCCACCCTCATCACCATCAAACACGAGCTGTTCAAAGAAGCTCGGAAGTACCCACTGCACCAGCTGCTCCAAGAAGAGACCTCCTACATCTTTGTGAGCGTGACACAGGTACAGAAAACCCGCTCAACTCCACATTAGAATCACTTTATTCTCTGCTGCCCTTGGGGAAAGTTAAACCAGCTCTCACGCCAAGCACTCATTGGACACCTGTGGAGAGATGGAGACTAAGTGAGATTGGGTGGTTGTTTTTTGTGTTGTTTTTGTTGCAGGAAGCGGAGCGTGAGGAGTTTTACGATGAAACTCGGAGACTGTGCGACCTGAGGCTCTTTCAGCCTTTTCTTAAAGTCATCGAACCTGTTGGCAACCGAGAAGAGAAGATACTCAACAGGGAAATTGGTAAGAGGCCGTTTAAGTTTCAAGATGGCCCCAGTCTGAAATCAACTACTACTACTACTTCCATTTATGAGCTACTTCTCTAACCCAGCTCACACCAGATTAACATATCAATTTGCAACGATTTGCTGAAAGCGATCCAAAAAAGGTGCAACGTCATGACGAAAATTTTAGTCTGGTTATCAAATTTTCTGTATGAACTTGAAAAGGCTGTCTATAAGTTAGTGACCTACACTTTTAAATGTCTTAATTACACAGTTTGATAAAAATACATTTCATTAAACCATGTATTGACAAACCTAGTAAAAAATCCAATCAATGAGTCTCAAGACTTCACCTCTATCAAATTTAAACATGTGAAACACTAGATGATGTCATTTCTGCAGTGACAATACCTGCCACAGCTGTACTTCCCTACAAAGGATAAATCCTGTAACTGTGCAGACTGTTAAACAGAAAAATTGCTTTAAATTTTAACTGCCGTCCCTCTTGTGTATATCATCGGTGCATTAATAATAGTGTGTGTATGTGTTACCATATGATGAGTTAACATTTGTAAGTCACAGCCGTCACCACTGATTTGACCTTTGACCTCTAAATGTACAGTTAAAGTACATAAAATGAGGTGACCAGAGAAAACCTATCTGGGGAGATCTTTTACTGCCAAAAACATTCAGTATTCTAGTTTGTGTTGAATAAGGCATTATTAAAGTCTGTATTTTGTCCTATTTCAGAATTACAGAACAAAACATGTTGTAGTATCTATGAGCTGTGTGAAATTCTCCAGTAAAACGACGACACAGTGTAGTATCTGCTTTTGAATTCACCTGTTACAACATTCTGAGCTACAGTTCCTGCACTTTTCTCTGAATCAGTGATGAAACTGTAGTAGTTACTGTAAATTTCACATCAAGATTTCTCAAAAAGCAAGCCTGTGTTGACCATAAACCATTGTCATCAAATAATACAGGTGTTATGGAGGTGTTTTTGGTCTTAACTCAGTTTTGACTAAGTGCACAATTACTGCGTTTTCCATTTGGAGTGCAATATAACACAGCGAGGAAGCAAAAAAGTTTGTCAAAAGTTTACACAATTTGGCCCATTTTGAATCACATTGTATTTATATATTAAAATATACGTGGAGTTGTAGCTTGACTTCATTTATACTCATTTTATTACTCCATTAATCTAAGCGTGTCTTCTCTGAGCACTCTGAATTTCTCTGTTTGCATTTTGCCAAGACTGTTGGCCACAGGTACAACTCCCGCCTTAAAACTGCGTAGGCAGAAGACTTGAAAAAAATATTGTAGGTCAAATTTTGTTCAGTGAACGCATGACTCTATTAGTAAAGCATTCACAGGGAATAAGGACTTCATTTATTTATTTCCCCATTGTTTATTTCCATTGCTGACAGCAGTGGGAGCTCCAGTACCGAAATGCCTCAATGGAAATGGAAGTAAATGTGTTTTCCAAATAGCAACATTATTTTAAGTTTGAAAATGTAAACTGTGACCAAAAGCTTGTTTAAAAGGAAAATAAACATTGCACAGTAAGTGTCATTTAAAGGTGATTTCTCTGTATTAGGTTTTGCCATTGGGATGCCTGTGATTGAGTTTGAGCTGGTGAAGGACCCAGAGGTGCAGGACTTCAGGAGAAACATCTTAAACGTTTGTAAAGACTCAGTGGAGCTGAGAGATGCCAGCGGACCCCACAGCCGCGCTCTGTATGTGTACCCCCCCAACGTGGAGTCCTCACAGGAACTGCCCAAACACATCTACAGCAAACTCGACAAAGGTAACGGACACTCAAAGACACAGTACAGAACTTTTTGTAAACAAATCCATGTCTTTGTCATTTTGGTTGTGTTTATTGCACTGTAAAACATGCGACCTTACGGTGAGCGAGCTTGCATCTCCACAAACCATCAGAGTCTTTTATTTGGCCTGGAAAAAAGTTTGCATCAGCTTGTTTAAATGGAAATGTTGTTCCTTTTATCTATAATATTCCACAGTATTGCATATTAGTCTCTGTGAAGAATGTTCCGTAGTGTGGTTTTAATGTTTGATTTCCATGGAATCATTCATGTGATGTGCCACCTCCAAAAAGTTACATACTGTACCTTTAACTTTAAGGTGAACTAAGCTCTACTTTTCAGGTGGAGGGTCCGCTACCTGCTTGATTAATTTGCTGAATTTTTTCACAGACTATACACAATATAGTATTAAACGTATCTGTTTGCATGGAGACAAGCAGTGCCACCACCAGGCCATGTTCACAGGTCAGATCTGTGTTGAGGCGACCCCTCTCACTGTAAAAATACATGTTTTACAAGGTATTTTTGAGGAATAAAAACATATGTAATACAATGAATATATATTTTTATATATTTTTCATGCTTTTAAGACAGTAAAGTGTGAAAAACCTTAACACATTTCTGGGTTTTATTTTTAGGGACTTTAACATTGACCTTAACATAAACCATAAATTTGTATCTATTTCAAACCACATATTTTGATCTAATAATAAAGGATACATGTTATGTCACTATGGTGTGAGTGTGTGTACTCCGAGTCCTAACAGTATTAAAAATATCAAAACCTACCCAATGGAACTTGTTTTGTTTATAGCATTTCATAACTTACAAAACCACAGTGTTAGTCGAGTCAAACACTTGTGGTCTCCTTATTTCCACAATCCAGTCACAACCAAATGTTTACAGTTATAAGATTTCTTAATGTAGTCCATTGAGCCATTCCTGTAACAGCAACAATGGTGTGTTGAAATCATTGAGAATAGCCCAGGATGCACTGGCAGCTTGTAAACATTATCTTAACCTCAATAGAACAGTACAGGCAGTCCTGAGTACCATAATGCATCCCCCAGCCCATGTATTGATTAGTCTGATTGTATTGTGACACTGTTGTCTTGAAGCCGTGTAAACAATGATTCCCCACATGACCCATTAGCCGTTATTGTGTCCGAGCAGAAGGGAAGTGGGTTTATTGATTGTTTATACAGTGTTATATTAAAGAAGACATGTTATTCTGTATTTGTGGTCATTATTAAAGGACTATATTATGCAAAATCAACTTTAGAGAGCTTTAAGACATGTTGGAATATTGTTACCTCCTCAAAAACAGACCTGGAATTGTGTTTTATTTCATTCATGCATGAGTAATGAGTAATCTTTAGGGGTGTAACGGTACGTGTATTCATGACGAACTGTTTTGGTATGGGACGTTCGGTTTGGTGCAGGGCTGTTCATGGGTGAATTTGCGCAGTTTGTGTGTGTTTACGTTTCGCACCTACATGTGCAGCTACACGGAGGCTCAGCTCTTTAATATTCACAAGGGAACTCGTCCGTGATTGGAGTGGCAGTGTTTCTCGAAGAGCTTTATAGTTAGGGTGGCCTCCTTGACAACAATTGCCACCCGCCTTGACGATGTCCCTCCGAACCACGTGAATCCTCGCAAAACTACGGTCCTCATGCCCCGATCCTCACTTTGCCGGCACAGAATTTTTATAATATTACATACATTTGTTGCTTATTTGAAAAAATTTTAGTATTACCAAGCAGCACTGTGTTTATTTTATTTTTCTGTTTTTATAATGTTAAAACAAATTCTTGGTTTTATACACACACAAATAAATAACAAGCAAATGGTTTTGCATTTTGTTCCCATACTGTACCGAAAGTAAACCGAACCGTGACCTCAAAACCGAGATACGTACAGAACTGTAATTTTTGTATGGTTACACCCCTAGTAATCTTGCATTATTATTCTGTCTACATCTCCAAAGCTCAATGCTCTGTTCCACCTTGTGATGTCATGAGTAGTAGTTTTCAAGTCAGCAGCTACCTTTTTACTTTTAGTTCAGTAGAGACTGGCAATTCCAGGACTGAACTTATACAATTGATTTTAGTGAAAGTGTGGAGTTCAAATACACAGGGGAACACTTCCTGTATTACCACATGACATCACAAGTTGGAACTGAGTGTTTTTTGTTTGAGAGACAAACAACACTGTTTGTGAATGAAACCAAACACAACTCTGCTTTATTATCTGTGGTTTAAGGAATAAACTCACATGTATATATCCTTATTTTACATTTTGTTCATTGTTGAAAGGCTTGTTCTTGACTGATGTGTGAGAACCATTGTAACATGTTTAAAAGCTCACAAAGGTTGATTTTGCAAAATATACCTCCATTAAATTGAAATCTTCTGTGTTTTTAGGTCAGATTATTGTTGTGATTTGGGTGATCGTCTCTCCAAACAACGACAAACAGAAGTACACCCTGAAAATCAACCATGACTGCGTCCCCGAGCAGGTCAGAGCAAGCATTTACTGTTCTATTTCACTGATTTTTAGACATTTCAGGTAGGACGAACACTAGAGTGCCTCAGACTTCTCTTCTTTAGTTCTACCACCATTTACATTTCCACATTGGTAGGTGTCTAATCTCTGTTCCCAGGATAAGGATGTAGTTGGATTTAAGTGAGATGAAAAATGTTTATTCCTGTTTGTTTAATTGGCTTAATTCATACTAAAGAAGTTCATGAAAAAATCTCGAATACAGTGGAAAGGCCAATATTGTGCAAAGAAGTAATACAAAATGGATTTTCAGGAGCCTGTGATCAATACATGTGTTCATGGTCCTGTTTAGGTGTTTGATTTTCAACAAAAAATGAGAGAGTGACTTACTGCAGGCATGAAAATAGGGGGTAAACATTTCCGTACGGTCACTGCTGTCAGCAATAAACTGCTTCAAACAGCCCGTGTGCACGTCTGGAGCCCACGGACACTGCGCAGCACATCACAAATGGGCTTGTCCACAACAGCATGTGCCCTGTTGTACCAGCGTGTATCAAACGGCAGGTTAAACTGTTTAAAACATCTTACCTGTCCATTTGCCTCACGTCAGAGCGCCACTCCTCGCCTTTTAACGCTCTCGCTCCTCCCCACATATAGCGCACACCAGCTCCGTCACGCTGATTAGAACGGCAAGACGGAACGCGAAGCAAAAACTTGTCAGTTCTAGAGCATGGAGCAGACATGCAGGACGGAGCAGACATGCAGGACGGAGCAGACATGCAGCACGGAGCAGACATGCAGCACGGAGCAGACATGCAGGACGGAGCAGACATGCAGGACGGAGCAGACATGCAGGACGGAGCAGACATGCAGGACGGAGAGACATACTGCACGGAGCAGACATACTGCGATATATGGGCTAAAGTTTGCCTAATAAAATGCCAAATAAATCTGTTTGTCACAATGTGCCTTTGGTTTGGTAAATGTGCAGAGGCTGGTAAATACCACTGTAAAACCAGAAAGTGAAAGTAACTCCAGTCAGGAATTTGAAAAAATAGGTTTAAAAATCCTACCCACTTTCTTCATTTGGAAGCAGTTTTGTGTAAAGTACCAATGGAAGTTTTCTTCAAGTGCTTCTCAAACTGTGGGTAAGGGTCCAAAAATGGGGCACAGGCTCTTTCAGTGTAGTGCTTTTTGCTTGGTTTATTTTATGCCTAAATATATACAAATTTATTAAATGGAGATAGTCATAAAAACATTGATGTAAATGTGCCAAAATAACTGTAAAATACAAATAAATGTAAGAAATTACTAAGATGGTCTCAATTTGGTCTCGATGGACCGTGGTCTTGGTCTTGTCTCAGTCTTGACCCTCTGGACCCTGTGGTCTCGGACATGACTAGTGCGGTCTTGACTACAACACTATAGTGCAGGGTTGTCCAAACTTTTTTCATCAAGGGCCACGTATCTAAACAAATTAATAAATATGAAAAAGATGAAAATGAAATATGTGCATGTTTAACACGTTAGAATGTCTGAGCCGTCAGTCTTTATTCATGCTAAGATCCTTAAAACCACACACTAAATATTAAATATGAGCTTTATCGAGGTAGATTTTCAAAATGCTTGCAGTAAAAAGTAAATTTTTAATTGATGCAAGGTAATTTGGGTCAATTTACCTGGACGCCTGAGGGCCAAGAAAGATTTGGCTGAGGGCTGCATTTGGTCCATGGGCCATAGTTTGGACATGCCTGCTATAGTGCATAGAACCCACCACACGCTCCTCGTGCACCTTTCTCACCTTTTTCACCCCTGACCCATTTTCATGCCTGTAACTGAAAAACAGCTTCCTAATGTGCCTGTAATGTTATTTGAGAGCGACTTGTTTAACAGCACATATCAGCTCACCTGTTGGAGTTGTAGGGTCAGACAAGTCAAGTTTTATGGTCAGTTTGTGTTAAAGTAAAACTCATGTTAAAGTCTAATTTGAGTAACAGAGCATCAGACAGAGCAGTGCCTCTAGTTAGCCTCACAACCCTTCAAGGAATAATAATAATAAAGTATCAATAGATAAGAAATACAGCCCCCACTACTTACTACTACTACTACTACTACTACTACTTCTACTACTACTACTACTTCTACTACTTCTACTACTTCTGCTACTTCTATTTCTATGTCAATGTTGTGTTTTTCTTTCAGGTCATTGCAGAGGCCATCCGTAAGAAAACTCGTAGCATGCTGCTCTCTCCTGAACAGTTAAAGATGTGTGTACAGGAATACCAGGGCAAATACATCCTCAAAGTTTGCGGCTGTGACGAGTACCTCCTGGAGAAGTACCCCATCAGCCAGTACAAGGTATCATGTTTATTTAATGTCCTCATATGGACATTAGAGTTAATACACTCTGTTCTGACGGACATCGGCCTTCATTACGTATTTATGCACAGGGCTGCTCATATATGTTGATTCAGGATGTGGTACATTATTTAACCCGGGTGAAAATGGGGAAATCTGCTAAAAGGAAGTTAGAATAAGGTAAAAGTAGCTGTTTTTTTAAGTGGAAAACTCTAAAGACTATCTACATTCAGTTTTGTTACTTATTTTCTTTAAACTTCCTATACTTTTGAGTTTGAGAGAAGAACTCAGCTTGAATATGCAGGGTCAGGAAACAATATAACACAGAGCAGAAAATAGTGTAATATGAGCCATTTACGTGGAAAGTTCTAAGGGCTCAGTTGGTTGTGCTGCCCTCCAATTGGTCAATCTCTCCATTCCGCCCGTGAGATTATAGACTGGCTCCAATTCACTTTCTTTTGAAAAATCATTGCCCTGGTCTCTGTATCTGCTCTGCATTTTTGTCTTATTTATTTCCCTGTCAGTTCTTATTTCTAATATTGAACTCAGGTCTAAATTTGCCCTGTTACTGCAAGACTTGGTGAGCTTCATTTGACTGAAGCTGAGCGCTATAGGTGTTTCCTTTGAGTGTTTTAGCAGCAGCAGTTTGAAAAGACCCACGTGCGATCATTCTGTTTCTTTCTCTGGTTGTAATAGTAGCTGCTCTAATGCCTGTACCTGTCTCTAATGTACAGGCACCTAATACCCTGTACCCTAATGTACCTGATTCGATACGTATTTTGATACATGGGTCACGATATCGATTCAATTTCTATACGTTTTAAGATGCAAAAAAATATAGTAAGTAATTTTTTCTGCTAATCAGTATAATATAATAACACTATGATGTTAATGAAACATTACATATATTAAATACAATACATAGTAGAACAAGTGTAAAGTTGTAGTTCATATGTGAACTGTTTTATTTCATTTGGTTCAGTGAGTTACAGCTCAGAATTTGTATTCAGTGAAAATAAGAACAGAGCTTTCACAGGCTATTTTATATTTTATAATATACCAGTCTACTATTAATATAGACTGTAGGGGCAGTAATTTATCAGACTTTTCCTTTTTTGATGGTGATTTGATGATTTCTTTTCCTCTTGAGTCCTCTTGTGCACACGCTTGTGTCCACGCTGCTCTACCTCCTCCAGCAGAGACAGACAGTAGCTCCTCCCCCCAATAGTCTCTGACACAGTGTGCTCTCCCATCCTCTTTCTGAACACTAAAACTATGTTATATTACATAGAAATGTCTCAACAGACTGTTTTCTGAGTAAAACGTATGAGATAGGATCTAAGAAAAAAGATTACGTGAGTCGTGTGTGTACGAGTGCATTTGATTAAAGCCGATGTAAAGCCAAAAGTGATTCTAAAGTATTTAAAAGTGAATATCTTTGTCATTCCTGGGTCTATCAACATAAAATAAAATGTGACTGAAAGATAAAAAACCACCTCTATTAGAATATTTCAGCTGTATGTCCTTACGGAGATGTTTTCTTGTTGTATCTGAGGAGGAGGCTGAGAGAACTGTTGTCCTTTTAGGCCAAAATAAATGACAATACAGCGCACATGGAGGGACACATGCATATCGACATGTGTACCGAACGAACACGTGTATCAAATCATGAGCACAATATTGAAGGATTTGATATTATATCGAATATTGTTGCCTCCCTATCATCCATAGTAGCTGCTCTAATGCCTGTTCCTGTTTCTAATGTACCCACCGTAGCTCTAATACCTGTACCTGTCCTCTTTAGTACATCCGCAGTTGCATCATGTTGGGGAGGATGCCAAACCTGATGCTGATGGCGAAGGACAGCCTCTACACTCAGCTGCCCACAGACACCTTCGTCATGCCCTCGTACTCTCGCCGCATCTCCACGGCAACGTCCTACATGAACGGAGAGGCGGCGTCCAAGTCTCTGTGGACCATCAACGGGACCCTGCGCATACGCGTGCTGTGCGCCACCTACGTCAACGTCAACATCCGAGATATCGACAAGGTTTGGACGGGAAGGGCCGGGGCTGCCTCATGATGTTAGTCTCGTAGATGTTTACAGAGCAGATGGTGAAGTGGCAGTGAATACAGTTGTACAGTAGTGTTAAAGCAGATGGGACACTAGTTCCTCATATAACTGTAAGAGCAACCGATATTTTGGGGCTGATATATAGTGTTGGCTTAAGGCTGCCAACACTTCAGGGGAATTTGCCGGATTTTGGCTCCGATTTGCTTCTCCCTGAGTTCGGAGAGGTGTGATTTTGTGTGTTTGTGTGCAGTTTTGAAGCCGCTGCGCTCCTCGTGTGAGATGTCAGTGTGACTCTGAGGTACTCTGTCAGATTGTAACCACCAAACATCAGCAACACTACAGTAACAGACAATAAAACAGAGCGTCAGAGGCAGAGGAGTGATGGACACAGAGGTGCAACACAAAAACTCAGGAAATATCGAAAATAATGAGAAGATTTGTAAAGCTGTGTATTTAAACTGCAGCTTCTCATCCATATTATCCATATTATCAACAGGAATTGTCCTCCGCAAATAATGTCACTCAATCCACAAAACAGAGCTGTGAACCCAGTTTGAAGCATTCTTTGAAAGTAAAAAGTCAAGAGTAGTTCCTCACCGGGGTAGAGGTAAAGATTAGCGACAGCAACTACTTCCTGTGTATTTAATCGCCAGCCTTATGTGCTTTAAATATCATGTATCTGAAATATTGCACCACATTTCACATATAATAATAAAACAGTTTTGACTTGTATCTAAACTATAAGTGCAGAGCTCTGATTTTTGAACACTCAAAGCGAATGGTTTTACTCTAGACAGGAAACAGCTGACACGATCGCGCTTACAGCTTTGTAGCCAGTGGTCTGCATTGTACGTTTAAAAAATCATTTAAGACCAAAAAATCCTGTAGTGTGTGTTGGCCTTAAGATCATTATTCCCAAATTATGTTATTTTAATTTACTACAAACTCACCCACAAACATTTAAGAGCTTCAGTTATCTCTTCTCATTGAAGTGTTAAAAAACATAATATCATCCTGTCCTGGAGACTGAAGACCGATACCTGTAAAAGATAAAAAGGGCAAATATCGACCCAGAATATCGGTCCAATAACGCTAATGAATATATAGTTTTTTTTATCTCCATCAAACTCACTCATTCACACAAAGATTGATACACCAGTGTACTGAAGCGAGCCAGGTAAGAGCCAGGTTAAGTGTCTTGCCAAAGGATACAATAACAGTATTCACTTGTAGGAGCAGGACTTGAACCATCAACCTGTGGGTCCTGAACGCCACTAACACACAAAGCCACCATTTTAACTGAAAACTACTATATAGATACTATATAGATGTTTTTGTACATTAAAGGTACAACATGTACCTTTCTGGAGGTGGCAACCGAAAAGAAAAAGTATCTTTTTAACTAAAACATTACATACTGTGGCTTTAATACAGCATCATCAGATTATATTGTGTATAAGTATTTTTTGTCACACTACTACATACACATTCAGAAGGATTTATTTATGTACTTTTCCTTAAATATAACACAATAATAGAATGTTATAACACTGACCTCCTTTTTTGGCTGGAATGTTGTTGAGACCTGTTCGGTTGTAACCCTATTGCCAATTTTCCACTCGTTTTTCTTTGCCATTGTGGATGTTTTTCTATCTCTGTCACACTCACATCCTGTGGAAACTACTCTTCACTGTCCCGTTCCAAGTTCTTTCAGGAAAACATGTTTTTAACCCCAGAGCTGCACAGAGAACACTGCCACAGCTTTATATTTATCTGTGTTTTTCAGATTCTAGAATGTCATGATGTCATACTCCCAGTCGGGGTCAAGCAATGGTTTTTCTTAATGAAAACATTGTATTTTACTATGAAATATCTAGGGATGCAATGATCCATCAGAGACTCAAAATATGATTTATTTGCTTTCAACACAAACAACATGAAGTAATAAATTATCTTATGTGGTTTGTAACTACAGAGCAGCACAATTCTGAGATGCTTTGAGCAAACATTTGCCAGTAAATTGTGTTATTACACCAGTTTATAGACCAAAATGTGCTATCACCTAAACTCATATTTGGGTGCCGATATCCGATACCAGTGTCATATTGGCTCATCTCTAGAAATATCTAAAAGGTAAATTCACAAATATTGAACCTGATCATTTCTATTAGTGACTGGAACAAAGCCCTTGCTGTATTGGAACAGCATTTTAAATGTGCACTGTGAGACTTTTCTGCTGGAGGGTTTGTCACCTATTTGTCTCCATATCAATGTTATTGCTTCGCCTGGAATGTGCCATGGTAACATTAAACGCACTTATCTAGTATTTATTCATTTAGCATATTTCTGTTGCTCAAAAATACATTCATCCTCTCTGTGAACAGGGTTGCCTCTCCACAGAGCTGACCTGTAGCCTATAGTTGTCTGCCTTGAAATAAATAGGTTTAATCTCTACCATGGAACAGTATAGACAAAGCAATAACATCTCCATGGAGACAAGCAGGTGACAGACCCTCCACCAGAAAAGTTGCACAATGCACCTTTTAACAGTGTTTATTTTAGCTGCCCCCATCTGTATTAAAGAGCCCATGTTACACTATTCTCTGATCTATGTTCTAATGTAGTTTCCTCATCACAAACAGACCTGGAGTTGTGTTTTGTTTCATTCTCACATTTAACACACAAACCCTGCATATTTAGGCATATTTACTTCTTCTCTCAAAATGTAAACACTGTGTTCCACCTTGTGATGTCATGTGGTAATACACAAAGTGCTACACTGTTCTGTTTAAACTCCATACACCTTCACTAGAATCATTTGGGTGATTTCAAACCTGAAACTGCCAATATTTACTAAACAAATGTTTTGAGTTTTGGAGATCTAGACAGACTAATAATGCAGAATTACTCAAACATGTGTGAGTAAATGTTTTTGATGAAGTATGAACATTATAACATGGCTTAAAGCTTACAAGAATCACTTTTGCGTAATATAGGACCTTTATATATAATTGACCTGTAAAATGTTATAATGTCATCTGTGTTTTTTGTTTTTTTTTGTAGATTTACGTGAGAACAGGAATCTATCACGGAGGAGAGCAGATGTGTGACAATGTCAACACCCAGAGAGTCCCCTGTTCTAACCCCAGGTAATTCTATTTTTTATCCTCATTTTACTCTGCATGCCCCACTATTGCAAGAGTTAATTCTGTGAACGTGTTTAACTTAAAGGTGCATTGTGTAACCTTTTTGGTTGGGGGTCTGTTACCTGCTTGTTTCTATAGAAATGTCATTGCTCTGCCTGGAATGTTCCACAGTATGACATTAAACAGCTCTACCTTACATTTATTCAGTCACAGGTGGTTTTATAGCTCAAAAATATCTAGAAAAACTGTCATTCTGATGGTGAGTTTGGTTGCCTTTCCACAGATCTGACCTGTCATTTACTACCAAGACAAAAACAAAAGATAAAATGTTAAAAAGATTGAAGAAGTTATTTTAAAATTGATAGTCCTGTTGTTGTTTTTTATTTCTCCTGTGTCGTAAATGAACACCAGTAATCAGATCTAATTATTTCTTATCTGGTTTTCTATCTGATCTAAATGTACCCATTGTCTGTCTACTCACTGCTTTCCACTTTCACTCTATTTAACTGCTATAGCCTTTGGGCCGATGGGCAGAGCCAATTCTGTCTGCGCTTCAGACTGGAGGCTAAGCTAACACTTTAGAAACATTAACCGTCCATATTGTGTTACTGTTGGATCCTCCTCTGACATGTCACGTAAGACGTCCCCTGTCACTGTCAGCTTTTGTCTGAGCTGTTACAGTACTCACTCAGACAGCTGGCTATGGTTTTAAAGTGGAACTAAACACTAAATCAACTTTTGGACTAACCTTTAACTACGGCTGGGCGATATGGAAATAAAAGAATCTAAATGTTTTTCCCCATGTTGATTGATCTTGATTTTCGATTTGATTATCTTCAATCTTAACAGACATGCAGACTTCAGACATAAAGAGCAGGATGTCAGGATCACCACAGTTTTTACTTCATGTCGATAGGACTAGGAGTGTGTCAAAATATCAAAATATCTATATATCCATCCATCCATTTTCTTCCGCTTATCTGGGGTCCGGTCGCGGGGGCAGCAGTCTGAGGAGGGCTTCCTAGACTTCCCTCTCCACACACACTTCCTCCAGCTCTTCCAGGGGGATCCCGAGACGTTCCCAGGCCAGCTGAGAGACATAGTCCCTCCAGTGTGTCCTGGGTCTTCCCTGGGGCCTCCTCCAGGTGGGACATGCCCGGAACACCTCCCGAGGGAGGCGTCCAGGAGGCATCCGGAACAGATGCCCAAGCCTCAACTGCTCCTCTCAATGTGGAGGAGCAGCGGCTCTACTCCGAGCTCCTCCCATGTGACTGAGCTCCTCACCCTATCTCTAAGGGAGCGCCCAGCCACCCTGCAAAGGAAACTCATTTCGAGTGCTTGTATCCGTGATCTCGTCCTTTGGTCACTACCCAGAGCTCATGACCATAGGTGAGGGTAGGAACGTAGATTGACCGGTAAATCGAGAGCTTCGCCTTTCGGCTCAGCTCCCTCTTCACCACAACGGTCTGATACAGCGACCGCATCACTGCAGACGCTGCACCGATATCTATATATCGTATCGTTTAATGTGATGATACAGTTTCGATATCGTAGGCTGCTGTATTGATATATCTCCAAGAGTATTTTTAGGTACATTTTACTACATTATTTTGGACAGCGCTACAGTTTTTTTGTTGTTTGTTTAGAGGAAGGAAACTCATTTATGCAACATATTTGACATTTTCACTGTTTTGATGAGTAAAATGGGTGTGTTTCATATTGACTTTGCACAAGAAGTGGTTTAACAAAGACTTTTAGTAGTAGTAGTTGTAGTTTTGAAATATATTGTATCGAATCCTATTCAATTGAAAGCTCACTGTATCGAAGCATATATCATATTGGCAACTTCTTGATGGCTATTGAGCTGTCGATTAAAATGCACATGCCAAGTTCGAGCAAAGTAGAGATCCCAATCTATCAATCTTTCAATTTTTGGCACAGCGCTACCTTTAACTTTTAAAGGGACAGTCCAGAATTTTGGACATAGGGCCTCATTTCCTAATGAGTCAGAGTGTTGGAGACGTGTGGAGACACTTTTTAAAATATTCCATCCAGTCCTTGTATTTGCAGAGGTCACTGGTGTTATACTAGTGCATGTCAATGGTCATAGTTATCCTGACACTAAAACCAGTCTTACCCACTCCACAAAACACCCCAAACAAATCTATTATTACACCAGACTGTCCATATAAATGTCTGCGTTGATAGAATAATGTTTGAAATAAAACTAACCCTGCATCGCATGAATCGTTGCATGTTGAGGGACTATTTTCTCAGCAGCAGTGGAATTTTACTTTACTAGTAAGATAGGTGCTAGGAGATATCAGTCCACCGCTGCCAAGGTTTTTATCAGGAAGTACAACTCACTACTGCTACTCAGATATAAATCCTTCAAATGCAAGGTTGCTTTTACTTCTAAAACTATTCTATCGACACAGACATTCACATGGACAGTCTGGTGTAATAATGGATTTGCTTCGGGTGTTTTGTAGAGTGGGTAAGACTGTTTTTAGTGTCAGGAGAACTATGAACATTGACATGCACTAGTCTAGCACCAGCGACCTCTGCAAATACAAGGACTGGATGGAATATTTCAAAAAGTGTCTCCACACGTCTCGAACACTCTGGCTCACTAGGAAATGAGGTCCTATGTCCAAAATTCCGAACTGTCTCTTTAATAGTATTGTGTACCGTTTCTGGTCCTTTATGGTGATTCTTGTGTAATTATCAAGGTAAATTTGGAGCTTTGTGTTCAATAATAGTCAAAAGCAAGTCAAAAAATTGTGTGCTGCCTCTAGTGGCCACTGCAGTTTCAAGTACTACGTGACTTTAATCACATACAAAATACACAAAGAGAATATTTCTAGCAATGATTTCTAAAGATCCACCAACAACTCAAGCAACATTTTGTACATTATTCTCTTTGCACTACACTAACTGAACAAAACGGTTTTACTTTTATTTATTTATTTATCTTTTTTTTCTTTTTTTTTTTTTTTTACATATTTGACCAATAGCAAATATGACCTAAATATCTTTCTTTTTATTAAAAATTGATAACAGTACCCATTTGAATCTTAACTAACCTGAAAAGTATCTTAATTTTACTGTAAACGTACATATTTTGCGCCATAATTGTCATTCCACAAATCCCTCAAAGGTGCATAATTTCTCCTACATGTCCTCTGTGGGCTTTCCTTGTACACATTTCTCATTAGCTGTTCCATGTTTTCACCCCGCTCCCTCTGCTTCGATGAGTCTGATGGTGTTTCTCCTGCACGTCCTCCTTTCTGGACTTTCCTTGTCCTCATTCATCACTGGCCGTTCCATGTTCTCACCCCCTCCCTCTGCTCTGATGCGGTTTCTCTGCAGGTGGAACGAGTGGCTCACATACGACATGTACATCCCAGACGTGCCGCGCGCCGCCCGCCTCTGCCTCTCCATCTGCTCCGTCAAAGGCCGGAAGGGAGCCAAAGAGGTACAGAACACGCCCGTACAGTCCGCGAGGGCTCAAAACACACTCAGGAACCAGTTTAGACAGCCATTTTTATTGATACATAACATCTGGCATTATGAACATTCCCTGGGGTAAAGCTAACTAGAGGCATTGCTGTGTCTGAAGCTCTGCTACTCAAGATACACTTAAATCTTTAGCTGAAAATCAAACACATAAACCGCTTAAGTAATGTAATTTTGACTTAACTTGGAAACATGATTGGATATCAGTTTCAAGGTTTGCTCTATAAATTGGTGTAATAAGACCATTTAATGGCTCAAAACACCTTGTATTATATTTCAAAACTGTTCTGTAGCTACTTTAACTGATAAATAACAGTTACAAAACACTTTTGGATCATTTTTACCATACACTGTCTGCGTTATTATCGGTTGATATCAGCAATCAGCAGATACTTGTAAAGCTATAGTATCAAAATCTGTATCAGAAAAAGCTGGATTGGCACATCCCTACACTGTAAAATTTAATAAATAGACCTTACTTGGAAAAAAATCTAGGAAACCGATTACCTTGAGTTGAGGAATGTTATTTTTATACACAAGTTAGAGTAAAAACAGGTTCTATTCTATAATAATGCCATTTAGCTCTGCATCAGGTACAAGGATTTGAGTATTTATTAGTCTTTGAAAAAAATGTAGCAAAACTTTTGTTCAGCTTCAGTTCAAAACCCCCGAACTTAGAGCTCAAAAAAAAAAAAAAGAAGAAACAGAAACATAACTGAAGTGAACAGGGAGGATATAGAGACTGAGTGAACAGCGGGAGGATATAGAGACTGAGTGAACAGAGGGAGGATATAGACTGAGTGAACAGAGGGAGGATATAGACTGAGTGAACAGAGGGAGGATATAGACTGAGTGAACAGAGGAGGATATAGACTGAGTGAACAGAGGAGGATATAGAGACTGAGAACAGGGGAGGATATAGAGACTGATGACAGAGGAGATATAGAACTGAGTGAACAGAGGGAGGATATAGACAGAGGGAGGAAATAGAGACTGAATGAACAGAGGAGGATATAGAGACTGAATGGACAGAGGGAGGATATAGAGACTGACAGTGAACAGAGGGAGGATATAGAGACTGATGAACAGAGGGAGGATATAGAGACTGAGTGAACAGAGGAGGATATAGAGACTGAGTGAACAGAGGAGGATATAGATGAACAGAGAGGAATATAGGACTGAGTGAACAGAGAGGATATAGAGACTGAATGACAGAGGAGGATATAGAGACTGATGGACAGAGGGAGGATATAGAGACTGAATGAACAGAGGGAGGATATAGAGACCGAGTGAACAGAGGGAGGATATAGAGACCGAGGGAACAGAGGGAGGATATAGAGACCGAGGGAACAGAGGGAGGATATAGAGACCGAGGGAACAGAGGGGAGGATATAGAGACTGGATGAACAGAGGGAGGATATAGAGACCGGATGAACAGAGGGAGGATATAGAGACTGGATGAACAGAGGGAGGATATAGAGACACTCTGGGAGTATGAGGGAGTGAGTGGCAGCTGTAGGAAAAACAGGGAGGTGGCAAAAGGAGGAGTGAAACAGACTGGGAAATGGAGCTGGACTCTTGGCACACATCACTGTTGAAGTTACTCGTCTCATTCAAGTCGACCTGAGTCTAATTGACAAGTAATGTGCTTTTTCACCCTGTAAGTCACTCTTACTTTACCACAATCATTAAGATCCACAAATTTGTAGCTATGAGTAAAATAAATTAACCCGAGTGTTAGATTTTACAGTGTAGTATATTGCTCCTGCATTTTAGATTTGTTTATTAATGAAAAGATGATAGAGGGACTCCTTTTTAGAATCCAGCACTTCTTCCTGTATTTGTCAACCTTTTTTACCCAACTTTTCTTCTCAAACTGCCACTTAAATGTGCACTGTGTAACTTTTAGTTTGGGGGGTTCATCACCTGCTTGTTTCTATGGATATATCATTGCTCTGACTGAAAAGTTCCGCAGTATCACATTTAACAGCTCTATATTCATGAAATTACAGGCAGTTTTATAGCTCAAAAATACCCAGAAAAACAGGAATTCTGACAGATTTGACCTGTAACTTGATCTGGTTTGGTCTCCCTGAAGATAGAAAGGTTTAATGCCATGCTGTGGAACATTCCAAAGCAATAACATCTTCATGGAGAAAAGCATTTGACTGGACCTCCACCAGAAAAGTCACACAGTGCACCTTTGATAAATATTTACCACAGGCACGATCCAAAAACATGAAAACTTGTCATATTAATTTAAATAGATTTTAGATTTTTTCCCCAACAATTTTCCTTAGTCGACTACAGCCTGATGATTCCTTTTCGTAGTTTTAACTTGCACCACGATGACCGAACGTGTGCCTCTCCTAAAGTGCGTAATAGCTAAATATTGAATGTGCATGTGAGTTGTTGGCCACGGTCCTCCTGCTGTTACATGCGGAGTCTGCTGTCTTAAGTGTCCTCTGTGAATGAGAGACGCAGTATCAGCTTTGTCTCTGCTTAATTACTAAACAGTGTCGGGGTGGCAAAAAACATCAGCAGGAATATAATCACCAGCACACACTTTTCCATTTACTCCACAGGGGCAGAGGTTGGGGGGGGGTTTGCCAAAAAAATTCATATCTTTTTAATAATTTTTTAGAAGAGTGATCATGATTTAGAATTACTTTTTTTCAGGGCTTACTTCAAAACATGTTTACAAGGCAATTAAAGCCACGAGAATGCATACCGTAAATTCTGGACTATAAGCCGCTACTTTTTTCTCACACTTTGAACCCTGCAACTAATAAAGCGATGCGGCGAATACATGAATGGATTCTTTGTTTGGCACATTGTCCATTCATATATACGATCTATAGTTTGGCAACACAGAGGATACACGCAGCCCGAGTGGAGAAAACGCCACTGTCAGTGCGATTTACACATGGATCTAGGGTTCACATGAAGGTGCTACACTAACTCGTGTTATTGTCAGCTAGGGTGACCAAACGTCCTTTTTTCCCCGGACATGTCCATATTTTGCGTCCTGTAATCAGTCCTAGGGCTAACCTAGGACTGATTCCAGGACTGAAGAGGAGGACTAATTCAGGATTGAACTAGGACTGAAGCAGGAGAAAAAAACAGAACTGAAACAGAACTCACTGTCGGGACAGGCTCGGAGGTGATCTCAGGAAAAAGGACCGATGGAGATCTTCGCACCTCACGGAGGTAAACGCGGCAATTGCCCGATCGTGCTTTGTGTACAAACTGTTTGGAGTCCAAGATTAGTCCTGGTTTAGACCTGGTTTAGTCCTGACCCATGTGTAAAAAAAAAAAAAACATGCAAAATTGACATAAAAAAAAATAAAATCTGCGAAACGGCTAGACCGCTAAAGGTGAACCGCAATATAACAAGGGACAACTGTAGCTCAATGTCAAGGCCCCACCTCCCACCCCCAGTAAAGTGTCCGGGTTTTCACAAATGGAAATATGGTCACCCTATTGTCGACACACTCAAATAGTTTATTGCCATGTGATAAAATAAGTTATGATGCTAAATGAACATTAGTGAGGGGGATGCGTCTTACCCGTCTGCGTAAATGATGAGAAGAAACCTCTCAAACTTCAGTATCATCCACTCATACCTGATTGACAGACCTAGCCCCGCCCCCAAGAGAATCTGAAATCTGATGAAATCCTCCAAGACACTGACATGATACAGACAGAACAGAGACTGTTGCAGGAGACATGCGCAGTAGAGCACTGGGAGAGACGGGGGTGATGCGCCGAGGAAAATGCTCGTTTGATTGTGTTTTGAACAGTTATTTTGCGCTTCATACACACACCCTCTTTATGGAAAACACACAAAGAAATGCAGATGGTGCAGCTTTTAAGTTAAAGGCGACTGATGTGGCTGTGGAAAAAGGAAACAGAGCTGCTGCACGTGAGCTCGACATCAGTGAGTTGATGGTGAGACGTTGGCAATGGCAGTGTGACGAACTGACTCAATGCAAAAAGACGACAAAAGATTTCAGAGGCGATAAAAGCAGATGACCTGAACTTAATAACGTTCTTGAAGATGTGGACACCTGTGGCCTATATATGTACAATTTTAAGATTTTGTTCAAATTTAGTTGATGCGGCTTATATTCAGGTGCGCTCAATAGTCCGGATTTTATGGATAATATGTGGCCATTAATAAATAGAGAAATAGTGAATCACTATATGACAACATGACCAAAACAGATGGATAATAAATAGATAGATACTTTATTGATCCCAAAGGAAATTCAAAGTTTGGCAGCAGCAACATAGATATATTTAAAGTAGCAGATTGTCACAGGAATGAGATCACAATTCAATCTTTATCACCGGGCCTACGCAGAGGTACAACAAATACTGATTATTAGCCACAGGCACTTCCTTATAGTGAAATGTGGTCTATGTTTAAAGTAGACCATATACTGTAGAATAGAAATGGACTAAGGGGAGTGTGACGTTACCCATAGCGTTCAGTTACAGCCAATTGAAGCTCAGTGAGGCTGGTAGTTAAGCCGACTAAACTTGAGTGCAAAATCAAAGAGCCAGTCAGAAGCGAGGCTGTTGACTTCCCGTCTGCGCCACTGGTTTGGAAAGGATTGCTAAAAGGGATGTGTAGAAATATCGATACATCATATTGCTTAAAGTGATAATACAGTATTGAGCTCATGGGCTGCTGTATCGATATATATCCGAGAGTACTGTATTTTCCGCACTATTAGGCGCTCTGGATTATAAGGTGCACTGGTTTATTTTTGAACTTTTTTCACAAATAAACCGCACCGGACTTTAAACAAAACCCAACAGTGTGATGGGTGAGTGGTTTTGTTTGTTTGTGGCGTTCACGGTGACTCTGGGCTTTGTTCAGTTGTGGCGTGTAGGGAGGGTGCTGTCTGGGACCAACGGATTGTCGGCGTGTTCGCAGTGAATCAGTTGTTCAGTTGTGTCTACAAGTGGCACATTGCACTCGCTTTTTTGGTTCGTTCCTCTGTTCCGTTCCTCGTCGGCGTGGAGTGATGAGTGTGGCTGTGGGTGTTTTTTGCTGCGCGGTCGCTGTCTGCTCCGTGTGTGTTTGCGAGCGCTGTGCGTGGTGTAGCTTTGTGGTTTACTGAAGTCGTGTTGGGACACCCGAGTGGATTCATGTATGGGGCGCTATGGATTGAGGGGCGCGCAATCGTTTTTTGATGGGGTTGGAGGCTTATGAGCACGCCCTATGATGCGGAAAATATGGTATTTTTTTTATATTTGACTCAATAATTTTGTGACAGCGCTACAGTTTTGTTGCTTGTTCAGAGGAAGGAAACTCTTTTATGCAACACATTTGACATTTTCAGTGTTTTGATGATTAAACTGGGTGTGTTTCATATGAACATTGCACAAGAAATGGTTTAACAAAGACTTTTAGTATCACAGCCCCGATTTAGCCAATATTTTTATTGAACCATATTGAATCCATTTGAAAAATATCATATCGAATCAAAAGTGAATGATATGTACTGTATCATGGCCTATGTATCGAGGTATGTATTGTATCGACAACTTCTTAATGATACCCTGGTTGCTAAGGATAGTGGTCACGACCTATGGGAAAATAGGAACCAGATTGGACTATTATTAATGTTCATATCTTAATTTAGAGACAAATTTGTGAAATATAAACACCAGGATCATGCAGAGTAGGTTAATACGGACATAATAATACCAAAATGAAGAGGCTCACAGCAGCAGTTACAGAGAGAGGGACTACAATTTTTCAATAGAAAATGAATTTCACTTTGAGTTCTCGCCCATGCTCACTTCCTATTTGGAATGTAGCAGCAAGCACATTAGCTGTGTCCATTTGTTTATTCAGTCTATGGAGGATTTTCTGTTATGTAATAATCACCAAATCTGCATCATATTTAGATTGAAAGTAAATTTTGCACAATACCTCCGCATCAATGATATTGTTTTGATGTTCATACTTTTACCGGTTTTATCAGTCAAGTGGCAGTTTGTGAAGAAAAGGCGAAAAGAAAAAAAAATCAATTGCTGCGTTCCAGACAATTTAAGAGGTTGAAGTGACCAGATTTACTCATCTATTCAAACTTTTTACTTTATTTTCTGTGTAGCTCTTCTTTCTTTACAGATCATCCCTTTTATAAGCTCCTTCGTGAGGCCGTGGTTTCAGTTCATCAACTTTTACTATCAGCCTTTATGTGCTTAACCTCACTCACATTATGACAAGTATCTATTGTTGTCTTTGTGACTGTTGCCATAGCAGTAACGTAATGGCCCTTTGATACCATAAACTCTTCACAAACCACACTATGAAAGCAGAGATCATCTTTGTTTATCTGTGGCTGACTGTGCGGTAGGTCATATCTAACCAAGATGTTTTGATAATACGATTCAGTTCAAAGTTCACGTTTTGAACATGTCCAGAAGAGTCGACAGAAAGACTAGAATATGAACTGATAAACGAATACAAGAATCACATTTCAGGACATGTTTGGACAGATCTAAACTACAGGGTCTGCTGTTTTTATGCAGGAAAGACAGATTCAATATTTTGTTTGTTAGAATACATTAGAGAAGTTTATAGTACACGACCCAGCGCTATCAAGACAATGTGTTGGTGTTTAGTGTCCAGTCTAGTACAGTCCTGTCTTGTGATGCTTCTTGTTGTAGGGAGTATTATACCTCTGATTACGCTGGTCAAAATAAGATAACATGATATGAGCTGGTAGTTGAGTACAGCTCAGAAATTTGAAACAGTTGACTTTTATGATTCTCTAATTTTGACTTAATTTGGTGAGATTATAACTACTGTAAATACACAAAACAAGAAGCAATTTGTGAATAAAAATGGAAAAGTATGTTGAAAATTACAGGAAGTAGAGATTTCTCCAATCTTGATGATATCACATAAACACCCTAGGGAGAATTCTGTCCAAAACACAATGTGCAGAACACATTTTTACTGATACTTCACAGAAGATTACAACAAAATAAAGGTGTTTTCATAAATTGATATTTGTCAGATTATGATTTCTGTGTATATTAGAGGATTTTAGCCAGGTAACAGTTATGTAATTTCCTAGTGTGATGGCCAAATTGGAAAAGCAAGTGTGAATGTTTTTGCAAAAATCTTAAACATGATGATCTTAAAGCTGCATTGTGTATCTTTTCTGGTTGAGGGTCTGTCAAAGGATCTGTGTTTCTCCATGGAGATGTTATTGCTTTGTCTGGATTGTTTCACAGTATGACATTAGACCTTTCTATCTTCTTAGAGACCAAACCAGACCAAGTTACAGGTCAGATCTGTGGAGTGGTGACCACGCTCACAGTCCAAATGCCTGTTTTTCTAAGTTGGTAGTCTAATCTGTCATAGGCACTTTCATAAATTGCAGCCTATGCGATTTGCTAGTTGTGCCCATTCAAATTTTTATTGAAGCTGAGGTCATGTATTATTATTAAACGCCTGTCTGTGGCTGATCCATAAACGCGTTGGTCTGTGCTCTGTTGGCGTCTTGTCTGAGTCTTGTAAGTAACACCCACATGATTGATTTTTCCTGTCTGCGCTGAGGTGTGTGTGGGTGAGTGTATCAATGAAAGGAGACATGGATCTGGTAAAAGAAGCCGCTGTGGTGCTGTCCCGCTCTGAGCCGTGCCAGATCAGGTCAGACTGGAGGATGCTCTTTCAGCGTCTGAATTAAAGATAAAGATAATAGATACACGCTCTATAAATAGAAGTGTTTTGACTGGCTGTCGGCGCCTTCACACCTGGACCCATCGCTGTACTTTAGTGAAACTTCTGCCTCTGCCATTACTGATCTCTGCCAATATGTGGGATTTTACAGATTCTGGAATCAGGTTCATGTGAGAAAAATCCCAGATAATTCACAGCAATATTTTTTGTAAAATTACCCAGTCTCTATGTGCCCATGTGTTATTCTGTCCTCAGTGTGTTTTTATAGTGGATTCGTGAACTTTACTACAGTTTATGGGCCATGCTATAAAATGTTTTTCAATAATCATTTCTGCATGATTCCATGAAAAGGGAAAGTTAAATATATTCTCTATGGAGTTATCATTTTATGCCATATGATGGAAGCCAAAGGCTCCAGGCCAAATAAGAGTCAGGTTTGTGAAGTAAGCTTTTTTAGTACAATAAACAACCAAAATGAAAGAACATGTTTTTATTTTAGTCTTAAAAGTTACAAACTGTGGCTTAAAAAATAGTCACATTTCTTCCTCCAAAGTCTAAACTGTGCTCCAGACCACATGCTTTCACTGACAGAGGATTGGACCTTTTTAAAAAAAAACATCCAAGCTGAGCATTGATGATTACAGAAGCTTCCACAGTTAAATTTAGATTGATTCCACAGCCCTACGTGCATGTATTTAATGCCTCTGTTTTGTGTGCATTTTGTGTGTTTTATGTCTCTTTTGTGTGTGTTTTCTTTCTGCAGGAGCACTGTCCTCTGGCCTGGGGGAATGTAAACCTGTTTGATTACACTCACACTCTGGTGGCCAATAAAATGGCTCTGAACCTGTGGCCGGTCCCTCACGGCCTGGAGGACCTGCTCAACCCCATTGGAGTCACCGGCTCCAACCCCAACAAGGTGACTGTTTAATTTATTCTTTCATTCATTCACACATACATACATACATACATACATACATACATACATACATACATACATACATACATACATACATACATACATACATACATACATACATACATACATACATACATACATACATACATACATATTAGGGCTGGGCGATATGGATCAAAAAATATATCTCAATATATTTTGCTATATCTTGATATACGATATATATCTCGATATATGTTCAAGAAAAAATAACCCCCTAAAACTGAAAACTGCAAAAACAAATCTGCCAATTCCACAAGGTCCTTTTTTTTAAATTGCAGTGTAAGAGGTCGGCAGTTCATATAGGAACACTTAAGATTACAAAAAACCCTAATTACATAAATAATAATAAATAATACATATTTCCTTCTTTTCATTCATAAATAAACAACTCAACACAAGCTCATCTTTGCATTAACTCTGTTAACCAGACCATAACCATGAGCTCATTTAGCAGAAGAAGCTCAGGATGTTCCTTATTTTAATAGATCCATGTTATTATCCAGCAGTAAGGAGCTCTGAGGTTTAATCCCACAATCCACTGCACATCAAACCCAACGTTTTCAAACACTATTGTACAAGTGACACTGCAGCAGATTATTAATAAAAATATTCTGCATAAATAAACTTTACATGACTAAACTTTACAATATATAAAGCATAACGACTCTAGAGCCACATCAGCTCGTTTGTGATAATAATGTGTTTAATGCAGTTTTGCGCACGTGTGTTTACATTTTACAGAAACGAAACTTAAGCGCATGTCTCATTTGCATAAACAGCACTTCTCACACAGCTCAGCTCGTTTAGCTTCTTTCGGGCTAAAGGATGCAACTCGGTGGAATATGAGGATGTGCTGCTGATGGTTTTGTCTGTAAATGGTGGAAAAGGTTCATGGTGCTTGAAGCTTTTCACTGGCACCAAATTTCGGCGTTCAGGGCGACAGTGACGAGTGAAGGAGACACGAGCGAACAAACTCAGGGAGGCGGAGGCGCGCGGGCGACGAGAGAGAAGACAAACAAGCGAAGCGGGGAAATCAGAATTGAATATAAGCATTATATCGATATATACGATATGTCAGAATTCATATCGATATATTTAAAATATCGATATATCGATGAAACACCTCCTTTGAACGGGAAATTGCACCTATATGTTAGATAGCATAGTGGTAGCCAGTTGGCTAACATCCGACGTAACATTATCCCAGGGCTAATTAACAAATATCAGGTTCTCTGTAGGTTTAGATTAAAACATTCACGGCTACAGCCACAGCGAGCATCAGTCAGTCTTCACTTCAGCTGCATTTCTCGCATGAAATGCCACCAAAAGTTCCTCGGGACGCTGAAATGTCCCAGTTTACACCAAACACTACCAAACTGTCCTGGTTACAGACGTCACAGCTAATGAAATGTTAAATTACAGTTTAATGCAGCTTCCAGCATCAATTAATGTTCGTGTTGACAGGCAACACCTTGGTATGTTTACAGTATTTACCGGTAAGTATAACGTCACCGTGACGTGGATGGATTTGCTCATTATAACCCATTATAACTCATGAAAAACCCATTGTCTGAAATGCAGCTGAGATGAAGACTGGCTGATGCTCGCTGTGGCTGTAGTCGTGAATGTTTTAATCTAAACCTACAGAGAACCTGATATTTGCTAATTAGCCCTGGGATAACGTTACGTCGGATGTTAGCCAACTGGCTACCACTATGTTATCTAAGGTCGTTTTCACACCGCTAGTTCGATTATTTGGTCTGCACCAGGCAATAAAATTGTTATTATGTAGCAAATACACTCCAGTGTGGTCCGCGTTCACACCGGCAAACGAACCAAAACTGGTTCGATTCACGTGTCTCTGTTTCCCCGGTAAAACAGCGATACTCCAGTTATCAACACCGATATTCCTGTTAATACCACGGACCGTTCTTATCTCAAATTATCACCATGAACTTATAAAACAGCAACATGTAGAACTTTGTACAAACTCACCGCATCAGCCCAGAGCTCGGGTAACAGCAGCAGCCAACAGTGCTCAAAGTAGCGCGCAGCTCCTCAGGACGGGGCTGGGGTCTGGTCCTTGGTCTTCTGTTACAAGCGCGTTGGTCAGATGGTCCGGAGGCTTCATCCTCCATGTGCTGGTTCCAAACGGTGGCGAGCAAGACCAGTGCGCAATGACTGGGTCTGAGCGGGTACGTTCCGTCGTCTGCGCTGGTTCTGTGCGGGAAAGCGAGAATGCGCTGTGGACTACAGGTCCGGGCGCGCTGCTCCTGTCCTCCGCACTCAAGAACCACGGCTGGTTCCGAGGTGGTGCAGCATCCGGACAGAAGCGTGAGTCCAGTTTGGTTTGTTATATGTTGTTCTGAGCGTCCGTCCTTGGCGCATTTGGTTCTTCCCGGGGAAAGCGCTTCCTCAGGTCGAGGCTCCCCGCTCCAGCTCCTCTGAGCCCGGCCTGAACTGGAGCTGCCCCCGCTGGTTTGGGACTCTGGTTTGGATCTAGTCCGACTGTATTTCTCTAAAGCACTAGGCTAAAAGCAGGGACTTTTTTAAGTTGTATCAATTGCATGGGCGATTGCCATAAAATTATTTGGTTAATTAAAGCCTAAAATAACAAATGTTGGTTGCTGCATGATCACGGGGGAACACCGGGTCGTCTCTGTGCGTGTAGGTCCCGAACAGGGGTACGCACCCCCAATTTTGACTCACTCTGGAGCCACACGTTCACACGTTCTTGCTCTGATCTTCGTGTGTTACATTCTCTGTATTGGCCATTGTTGGTAAAATGATTCGAAAATGAATCGCGTCTGCGTCTGGACAACAATCTGTTACTGCGCTGGAGTCGTACAGCGTCATTTCAGGCAGAGGAGACGCGTGTCCTCCCATGATGCATTTCGAATAGTCCGTTTGTCCATACTGTCTATGGTTTGGACCCGGGTTCGCGTTCACACCAGAGGAACCACACCAAAGTTGGTCATTTGGTGCGGATTCAAGCGAACCGAGACCACCTCTTTTTTGCGGTCTCGGTCCGCTTGATTTGGTTCGGGTCCGAGCCCGATTGACGCTTTCACACCAACGCAAACGAACCGAACTAACCACTTTTGGTTCGAATGGACCGTTTGGTGCGCACCAAATACTGTCGGTGTGAAAACACCCTAACATATAGGTGCAATTTCCCGTTCAAAGGAGGTGTTTCTACACAATATTATACAGCAGCGTTCGGTTCCCGAATTCAAGACATTTTTACAATAGATTTTAATTAACCCACTTGTTGGTCGCTGTTGTAGCTTCTTGTGCTATTACTCTTTTTACCCTCTGCTACAAACTTGAGCATGCGCAGTCTTGATCTTGATCGATGTTTCTTCTGCTCGATGAATAATGTCTGTGAAGTGATGACGTATTTTTGACAGTAAAGTTCCGTCTGTGAATTCGTATTCGTACTGATGAAAGCGTAATCGTAAATTTTCATTTCATGATTGTAATTCATGATGTCGTAATTTTTCAATTTGTATTCTGATGGATAAAATACACACAATATATTTTATGTACGACTGGACTCATTTGAGAGTTTACAAATATTTATTTTATGCGCAACTACAGCCAAATATGCACGGATTTCCCAAATACGCACGGATTTCTATTTTATGCGCACAAATATTTTTGACAGCTTTCTTACTCCATATAATTACCTTTACAAAAATGAACTCTGCTCTGATAAAAGGATCAGATAGTACAATCCCTAACAGTTCTTGAGGTGATGAAATCCCTGTGAAATAATTTCACTGGGGCCATCAGGTTTTACCGGTGTTTCAATGATAAATCCACAACACCTCCGGAGGGCTCATCGGCACCATCTGGTGTCCCAGATGTGCCCCCCTCTGCATAGGACTTACCTCTTCTGCTGCTGTCTACAGGCCCATTTACCATTAGTCATCGACTGAACTCCTCTGCAGCACCCGAGAGACACTTGATTGCCTGTTGTAAAACTTGTCCTTGTATGCCCAGGTCCTTCAGGAGTTTCACTGTTGAACTACTCACAAACCCTCTGCAGCCAACTTCTGCTGGGTAGACCCAGACCTTCCACCAATGTTGCTCTGCATCAGCTGCCAACTCAGAGTATTTTAAGTGCTTCCATTCATAGGCCTCCTCCACTGAATCCCCCATGGCACTGTAAGTTCAATTAAGAAGGCTGTGCGCAGGGAGGAAAACCAGAGCACGAGATCAGGTCTTAGATTTGTTGCTGCAGTCTCTGCAGGAAAGTACAGGTGCTGGTTAAGATCTAACAGTAGCTTCAATCCCGCGCTTCACTGAGCATGTCAGGATGTGGTTGGGATACCTGAGGCATGTCAGACAGAGTTGCAGCTGCACGGACAAAAGCTTCTGTAGCTGTGTGCTTGCCTGGCACCAGTGATAAGGAGTTTGTAGCTGTTCGTTTGGTATCCAAGGTAGCTATCAAACTCTTAAGCAGCAGGTTATGTCGTCACATGTATGCACCTTGCACCAAGACATGCTTTAGACTGGCTGGAGAAGGGCACAGTGCACATGTAGGATCCTCTGATGGAGGTTAGCTGGAGATGGAAGAACATATAATACTGATCAAATAAGGAGGAAGACTCTGTAAGCCTCCATCCCCCACAGCTCCTTCCATGAGAGCTTCCTCTTTTCCACCTCCTCCCACTTCACCCACTGGCCCTGTTTCCCCTGCGAGACTGCTTTTGTATGTTTCAGCACCTGCTCTTGTCAGCCCACTCATCCACCACCATGGTTCGGCATTGCAAAGGCGTTATTCCAAAGGCTTTATTCCAGAAGGGTCTGTTTTCTCCAGCTCTAAGGCCTCGTCTCGCCTGCTGCACACGTCCAACAATGTTTTGATATCTAAGAGCAGATTTTGCATGCTCTGCGGCCACTGCTGAAGACCATTTTCTTCCTCTTGACAACATAGGAGTAGTTTGGGTGATAATAGTGTCTTGTGATTCTTCAAGAGTCATTTGAAGCCTCACTTTGGCACACTTGAACTCCTCTGTTAGACTAGACTCTGGTAGCTCCAGAATTCCATACAGTGCTGAGTGAGTTAGGCAAGCCACTTCTTTGCTTTTAGTTATCAGTATAAGCTAAATAAATCCATATTGGACTAGCCCTTATGTTTTTGACATAAACAAAATTATATTTTTGTATTTTTGTTCCCTCCTTTTGCAGGAAACTCCATGCCTGGAGTTGGAGTTTGACCACTTCAGCAGCCCTGTGAAGTATCCGGACATGAACGCTGTGGAGGACCATGCAAACTGGACCATCTCCAGAGAGCTGGGCTTCAACTGTAACCTCTCTGGGCAGGTAACAGCACCAGGCCCTTTCTGTTTTAGTGACTGAAGAATGTTGACATATTGGTCATAGAAAAACGTGTGTCCTTAATGTCAGCGGCTTGCATCTCCACAAACCTGACTCTTGTTTGGTCTGGAGGAGAGTCTCCTGCTGCTTGTTTCTATGTAAATGTTGTTCCTTTGGCCATAATATTAACACACAATATGGCATAATATGAGCTTAACTTTCTATTTACGTGGATAGGCAAATGATGTGCCACCTCCTGAAAGTTAGACACTGTTGCTTTAGTTTACAACATTAACACGTTTGCAATCTGCTAATGTCCTTCAACAACAAGTTGTATAATGACACAATTTTGCTTGTTGTAAAGATGCACTGATTATGTTTAGATGTAGATCATTTCAGGCAGGGACATTATTTAAATATTTATTAGACATTCCTTCATTTACGTATCAGTTTTGTGCCGGTAAAATAACTACCCCCCAATTCTAGTCTAGTCTATCTTTAACAGTGATGAAAAGGCAAGCACATTTCAATCAGGATTGAAAGCGTGAGGTGATGACAAGGATTTCTCTCCATCTGCCTGAGATCAATCAATATGGAAAACAAAACAAAAGCCCTAATTCACAGAGAGAATTATTTTGTTTTTGAGCAATAGAAACACCTGTAATGGATAAAGTCTCGATCAATGTGTTTATTGTCATACCATGGAGCGTTCCAGGCAAAGCAGAAAAGAAAAGTAGCACAATGCACCTTTAAGCCTTGAATAATAAAAGATTGATATTTTGACCTCAATCCACCCAACATGGCTTTTTCCCGTCATCTTATTCATAATTGATCAAACAGTTCACACATTTAGCATTAAGTGAACCTCTCCTGTAGATCTAATGTTTGTGCGTGGCATCAGCAGCACTTAGCATGTCAGATGGGTGTATAATGTGTTGAAGTTAGCAGATTTACCTCCATTGCTTTAGCCTCTCTAGTGATTTTCAGCTTCAGTTGTGCTAATTTGTGCTGTAATATTAATGAGGCAGTTTGCGCGAGAGTGTGTGATCGTATTTCTCGATGATCTTTGGCTCGGCTGAGGGTTAGTCTCTGATGTGGGAAAATGTTACAGCACAGAAGCAGGTTTTAAGTATTCATGAACGCTGACAAAAGTGAGCAGTGCTTTATGTGGCTAATGCTAACTCACCTGACGCCACTCACCTGGGAAATGCAGATCAGATACAGACGGGTGTATAGACATGCAATAAACATGAGGCAGTTTAGAATGGCAAAGTTGCGCAGTGACTAAATGTACTTGCCGATAATTGCTTATTTTCAAATGAGCTTTGAAAATGTGTTATTGATTTCATAAAGTATAGTAGGGATACACTGATACCGATATCGATACTGGTATCAGATATTGGTGCTGACCCATGAAATTTGGTTGGATCGGGTATCGGTTCAGCCAATATGCTGTTTGGGCCTTAAATTTGATGTAATGACTACTGTATTACAGGCTGACGTAGGCCTCGGACATCACAGAACATTCAAACTTTTAACTCATACAAAACTGTTCACTTGCAAGATAAATAACATTTACATATCAAAACTTTTTGGGGAGAAAAGCCATTCTCAGTCCCTACACTGGTATCAGTTAATATCAGGTATCAGCAGATACTTCTAAGTCCAAAAATATCAATACTGGAGTTGAAAAAGCTGGATTGGTGCATTCCTAAACCATAGTAAAAAATGAAGCCATAACCTTGGGAAATACTTACATAAATGTTTTAGAGACCTGATTTTTACTGTCTTCAAAACATGAAAAATAGAACTAGTTCATTTCAAACAGGTTGCAGTGGTCTTCAGTTATTCCTCTTACCTTATGCAGTCCGAGCATCCTAATTATTCAGCACAATGAGCTTTTCACAACTTTCAAAGTCCAGAGCAGAGTTTTGGTGGAGCTAACAGTGCACTTCCTGATTCTCAGACAAGGATAATTATGTTTTTCCGATGGATAATATTGCAAAAGTAGCACTTTTACAGCAGTAGAAATTACACCTCAGTGCACTGTGCGCAGTTAATGACAAAATTACATTACACATGACAGATCGCATCAGGGTAGACTCTTAGGTAACAATGGTTTGAAAATCAGATAAAACAGTTTTAAATAGCAGTGGAAAGGTAGTTATAGTTATGTTAACACATCATATAGTATGTCCATATTAAATAGAGTGTATTGTTGTTGTAGAGTAACAGAGTGGCGCGGGATCACGCTCTGACCGACAGTGACAGTGAACAGCTTCGACAGCTCAGCAACAGAGACCCACTGTCTGATATCACTGAGCAGGAGAAGGACTTCCTCTGGAGACACAGGTGATATGTACTATTATTATTATTATTATTACAGGTGAACTCAGAGAACAATGAAGTAGTTGCAGCATCAAATAAAAATACAAAAATACTCACACATTTGTGTTTTCTTCAGACACTACTGTATGAACATCCCTGAAATCCTCCCTAAGATCCTCCTCGCCGTGAAGTGGAACTCCAGAGATGAAGTTGCGCAGGTGAGAAATATACTGGACAGTTAATGCAGTTCAGTCATTAAAACTGTGCGAGCTGTTACACTGTTCTCTGAGCACTGTGGCTCTGGGGAAAGAATCAACTAGGAGTCATATTTTTCTCTGACACCACAGCGATCTGGAGCAGTTTTCAGGTGGTTAGATGAGTACTTCTCTGTGTGCCACCTAAATGAACCAAAACATGTAGAAGGACATACTTTTGCCTATTTTAGAAGAAATACCGACTGCCAATTTTGGTTTTGAAAAACGCTTTGTGCATTTGTGGAGAGAGAGATGTTTGTGCTTTTCTCTCATCTGGATTTAACTAACCGCTGTTGCAGTGCTTTGCCCAATCAGATTCAAATATTCTTCTGGACATTCCACCTTTTCCTGATGGCTTTCAGTGAGAGCTGTTCCAGACTGATAATGTGTAGAATTCATGTCGGAGAGACACTTTTATTTATTTATTTATGTTAGGCAGATTAATGAACACAAGAAGTATACATGTATCTACTACACTATAGATTTTACATTACATATTTTTTTTCTTAAGAGTGGGAAGAAGGTAGCCAGGCTGGAGCCACCTACTGCCTCTGCTCAATTTAATTTCTCTCCAGCGACTAGGTCACGAATCAGAATACACTAGAAGTTCGCAGAAACCCTGGAAGTGCAAGTTTGGGCACCAGCCAATAAACAAAGAGCCATACATTCTGTGTTGGCAACGATTCCCAAGATTAAGGATTTAAAGCCAGAACAAAGAGAATGTTTGGTGAATTTCATCAAGGGGAAAGACGTTATTGTCCTTCTTCCTACGGGATTTGGGAAAAGCTTAATATACCAGTTAGCCCCACTAACGGCGCATTACATATGTGACTACTAAATAGCACCGATTGGTTAAATGATTAAAAGTACCCGCCTTCTGTCGAGCGAACGAATTCTAACACTGCGAGGTCAGACAGTTTCTACGAAGTGAAACCGGCTGACGAATCAGGCTAGGAAGAAGGTGCGCTATGTAACTTTTTGTTTAGGGGTCCGTCACCTGCTTGTTTCTATGGATATATTATTGCTCTGCTGGAATGTTCCACAGTATGACATTAAACAGCTCCTTACGTTTAGACCATACTTTTATTCAATTACAGGTGGTTTTATAACTTTAAAATACCTAAAAAAACCCAAAAACCTGACATTCTGACTGTGAGCGAGGTCGCCTCTCCACAAATCTGACCTGTAAGCTGGTCTAGTATGGTCTCCACTAAGATGGAAAGGTTTAATGTCATACTGTGAAACATTCCAGACAAAGTAATAACATCTCCATGGAGAAGAACATGTGATGGAACCCTTCACCTGAAAACCTACACAATGCACCTTTAACAGTTTTTAGTTTGAGTTTTCAACAGTTTATTAAAATGTTCAGCAAAATGTCTCTCAAACAATAGTTGCAATATTATCCCTTCTAATACACCTCCCATCTCACATGTCACATATTTTTATATCTCCTCTGAGTTCTCCCGTTTCCCTGTTGTATTTCTCAGATGTACTGCCTGTTGAAGGAGTGGCCGTCCATCCGCCCAGAACAGGCCATGGAGCTGTTGGACTGTAACTACCCCGACCCCATGGTCAGACACTTCGCTGTGCGCTGTCTCGACAAATATCTGACCGATGACAAACTCTCCCAGTACCTCATTCAACTCGTACAGGTCAGTCCAGACACTGGGGTTTATGAAGCAAAACAAAAACATTTGTAACATGACTAAAAGGTTCAGATGTTATTGTGCACATTAAAGGTGCAAAGTGTAACTTTTCAAATACTTCTCTCTGTGAAGATGTTATTGATTTTTCTGGAATGTTTCACAGTGTAGTATTAAACCAGACCAAGTTACAGTTCAGATCGGTGGAGAGGCAACCCCGCTTACAGCCAGAATGCCTGTTTTTCTAAGTATTTTTGAGCTATAAAACCAACGGTAGCTGAATAAATGTAAGGGAGAGCTGTTTATTGTCATACTGTGGAACATTACAGGCAAAGCAATGACATCTCCATGGAGACAAGAAGGTGACGGACCCTTTGCCAGAAAAATTGCGCAATGTAACAGCTTTATATTGCACCAAGTGGTAATTAAAGATGCCTTAAAATGTGAAAAAGCAGACCTACTTCATTATTCACTGTGATTAGTTTGTGAGCGCTTTTCATTCAGTGACTAGAGTAGATTTCTATCAGGATAATTTTAACAACAACAAGCATGCTAACAACTCACTTCCTGGATCATGGAGGATAAAACGTATATGTCATATGACAATATATCTATACTGGGGGGAAAACAAATCTGACTTTATTACATACATGAAAAATTGGCACAGGCCCTTTAATGTTATCTTATTTTTCACCCCACCACTTTCTGATAAATGACTATATTTATAAATTCTACTTCTTTCACTAAATTACATAAGATACAGAAGATCATCAAGTGGTCACATTTTTATACAGCGGTTTTCCACTTTCAAGGCTCTCAAAGCGGTTTACAACAAGGAACCACTCACCCATTCACACACACATTCATACACCAGTGTACACAGACACTGGGGGCAAGCTGGGTTAAGTGTCTTGCCCAAGGATACAACAACAGCATTCATCTCTGGGAGCTGGACTCATACCAGCAACCTGTGGGTCAGTGGATCTCGACCTTTCAAACTTCAGATCCATTAATAACAAAACTACAAACTGATCTGTCACTATGTTGCAGTTCATGTAAAATCATATTGTAAAATCATTGAATCCCCACATTCCTAGTTTGAAAAAAATCTTACATCTACTAAGTCACTGTTTTCTGCTGTAATTCTTGGTTGAAAAGTTGATGATTCTGAATCTGCTGTCTGTAGATTTAGTGTGTCTCCTCTGGTCTTAGGTTCTTAAATATGAGCAGTACCTGGACAATCCTCTGGCCCGTTTCCTGCTCAAAAAGGCTCTGACCAACCAACGGATCGGACATTTCTTCTTCTGGCATCTCAAGTAAGCACCCACTCGCATACATGTTTGTAACGTAGTGTTGTATTTTCTATTATTTTGTATTATACTGTGACTTTTTTCTAAAATTTCAATGATATTTGAAGAAACTTAGGTACCATTTTTCTATAAATAACTACACTTTCATTAGCCTTGATAAAATACAGACAAAGACTTAATTCATAGTAAAGTAATTATTATAATGGAATGATTTAGGCTTAGTAACTGCTTATTAAAGGTCCCATATTATGTAAAATGGACTCCTGAGTAGGGCTTCAACAATAACCGAAATATCGTGACTTTGTATCGTCAAAAGTCTCACAATAATATCGTAGACTGTCACAATATATCGAATCCCAATTTCCTTTGTTGAAATGCAGGTTTTATAGTAGCAACATCTTATAAACATTGGGAACTACATATCCCATGATTCATTTCAGCACAGACAACATGACTGTATATGTTTTTTAATTTAATTCTTGGATTATGACGGAAATAATTCACACCAAAATCTTGTCATGGTATGTTAAAAGCAAAAAAGTGTCCCATTTATACAGTTATATTAGCCTCTTGAGAATATTGCAGTAAATATGATACCATGAGATGCATATCGTGACAATATTGTACCGTGAGATTTTGATATTTTTACATCCCTACTCCTGAGCTTTAAGCCATACTATAATGTTACCTCCTCAAAAACAGACCTAGAGTTGTGTTTTGTTTCATTCACACAGGTTTGACTAATCCTTTTTAATTAGTCTTGTCAACATCTCCAAAGCTCAAAAAGTCTGTTCCACGTTATGACGTCATGAAGCTGTAGTTTTCAAGTTAACAGCTCCTTTTACCTTTAGTTGAGTAGATAGAAAATTCTAGACCTGAAATGATCCAAATTATTCTAATGAATGTGTATGGAGTTTAAAAACACAGTAGAGCACTTCCTGTATTACCATATGACATCGCAAGGTGAAACAGAGTGTTTTCCTTTTGAGAGAGGGACTCAGCATAACTAAGTAGGGTTTTTGGGTGAAACGTGTGAATGAAACAAAACACAACTCCAGGTCTGTTTGTGATGAGGAAACAACATTAGACCATAGATGAATGGCCCTTTAATGGGTTTTTTTAGGATATCAGTGAAATCCTTACTAAGCCTGAGTCATTCTTATAACAATTTCTTCATTATGAATTCAATCTTTGTTCACACTTTTTAAAGGCTTATTGAAGTATAATTGTTTTACCAATATCTACATTTTTGTCCACCTTGGCTGAAGCAAGTTCCTACTTTGTGAATTCTGTGACAATGCCAATAATTCAGATTTTTTTTTTGCTTGTGTTCAGGTCAGAAATGCACAACAAAACAGTGAGCCAGCGTTTCGGTCTGCTGTTGGAGGCGTACTGCCGGGCCTGTGGGATGTACCTGAAACACCTGAGTCGACAGGTGGAGGCTATGGAGAAACTCATCAACCTCACAGACATCCTCAAACAGGAGAAGAAGGATGAGACGCAGAAGGTTAACAGCTAAGAGACAACTGAAGGAGATTTATTTTTATGCAGTGGTTTTGGACTTAGACAAGCTTTATTGATCCACAAGGGAAATTACTTGGGCACAGTAGCTCACACATCACAATATATTATAATAACAAAGAGAAAACACAGCAGTAGCAGTTGCTCCTATTTGGACAGATCAGATTTAAAGAGCATTTTGGAGCTTTTGATCATATTGCAATGTTTATCCAAAAACATGTTTGAAGAGGTGTTATATTATCCATGCATGTTTGAGTAATCTAGTGATCTTGCCCAGGTCTTATTCAAACCCTTGTTATGGTTAGCAGTATGAGCACGAGCCTGTCCAAAGCTCAGTCCACAAGCCTACACCACCCATGCTCGTATACAGCAGTTTTGCATAAATATTCTAAAGCATGATACAAAACAAAATACTACAACTTCAGAAACCTGATGTGATGTGCAGTAGTTTCTTTAAATACATGCATAATCTGGAAGGTAGCTTTCATACATTGTAAAAAATATTGGTCCCAAGACTGATCCTTGTGGAACTCCCCATGTCATTTGGACAAAGATTTGACTTCACTGATTGTTACACTGTTCTCGTCCCTCCAGGTAGGACTTAAACCACAACAGAGCTGCGGAAAACGTTTTAAATGAGTAGAAATTAAAGTCCACTACTGTATCAAAGGCCTTTTTCAGGTCTAAAAACATTGCACCTTCAACATTTTCTAAATAAGTAAAATTCCCTGTGTCTGAAGGTCCAGATGCGGTTTCTTGTGGATCAAATGAAGAGGCCTGATTACATGGATGCACTGCAAAACTTCACCTCCCCTTTAAACCCTGCTCACCAGCTCGGGAACCTCAGGTAGGACCCACTCAGGAGATACCAACAGACTATAACAGGACTGGACTTATGTTGTGTTCATGTGACATTATCATTTTCTACAAAGTCCATAGTTTAACACTGAGCTGGAGGACAGATCAGAACACAGTGGTAGAATTTAGCTTTTAACTGTAAAAATGCAAATGTTATGACCTGGTTTATGGTTAATATCTGTGTAATTACTTGGCCTGTCCACGTGAATCAAAAACTAGCACAAACTCAAATGTTTTTCTGTCGGGACTAAATTAACGTAACTGAAATTATTTGCCAGTTCAGACCCAATCCCTAACAAAATATCTACCGTATTTTTTGGACTACAAGTCGCTCTGGAGTATAAGCTGCACCAGCCAAAAAATGCATAATAAAAAAGAAAAAACATATACAACTCGCACCAAACTATAAGTTTCACTTTTTGGTGGAAATTTATTTTATAAAATCAGAGACCAGGAACCGACATTTCATCTTGAAAGGCAAGTTCTAGTAATAAGAATAGAATAAAGAACAACAGACTGTTAACGTCACATATGAACAGTTCTTCAGATAAACTATAACATAAAGACAGAACAGAACAAGTTTACCAAACTCTCCATCTCACTCCAAATCACTAAATCCATTAAATTCTTCATCCTCAGTGTCACTCCTGAGCAACTTTGTGAGCTCCGAAGGTAAACTATAGATCTGTGAGGTAAACAGAGCACCGCTTCCTCTTCTGTGTCGCTGTCATCAGACTCGGCATCAGTTCCAGTTAGAATTATTCTGGTCTTTCTGAATCCCGACAGGATGGTTTCAGTGTCACTGAAGTCCAGGCTTTGTCCATTCTTTCAGTGACTTCCAGGAAAGTTGCATGGTGCATCCTCCCGGTTGCCGTTAAACTATGTTCTCCATCCCCGCTTTCCACCAGTCCCTCACAAGTTTTTCGTTCACTCCAAGATTTCTTTCTGCTGCTCGATTACCCTTTTCAGCTGAATATTTCACTACTTGCAGCAGGACCACGGCTTTTTCTGCAGCAGACATGTGCAGTAGGGCGTGAAGTGACAGCTGTACAGGAGTAACAGATACTGACACGCAAGCCTAGAGCTTTCTCTCACGGCTGTCAGTGTGAAAATTGTAATATATAAGTCACAGGACAACCCAAACCATGAAAAAAGTGCGACTTATAGTCCGAAAAATATGGTATGCTTAAAACTGCCATCTGTAATTAGATTGGCTGCCCTGCCCCTGTTGTACTGTATTTTCACATATGACCACTAGATGCTGTCAATGTTAGCAGAAGTGAGGGGAGGGAGGAGGTGGGGAACAGGTTTCACATGTGCCATTTACTGGTGAAAAAATTCTTAAAAACTTACCAATGGAAACATGAAGATGTGTGCATTTTCAGTTTGGATACTTCTATACAAAAACACACAAAAAACAACTGGAAATTGCCTATAGAGTTGAATGTTATGAACATAGCCTGTCTCTGGTTGTCATGGTTACCCACTGGTATGTGTGTGTGTGTTTGTGTGCGCAGGTTGGACGAATGCAGGATCATGTCGTCAGCGAAGAGGCCTCTGTGGCTGAACTGGGAGAATCCTGACATCATGTCCGAGCTTCTGTTTCAGAACAATGAGATCATCTTCAAAAATGGAGATGGTAAAGAAATACAAAAATACCTCCAAATGTTACCTAAAGCTTGAGGACTTTACTAAGATTTTTAAAAAGTAATGAAGAGGTAGGAGAGTACTTGAATCTGATTCTATATTCAGCAGCATTTGGTTGAAGCTGTAACTTTTCTGCTTGTCCCATGGATATGTTAATGTTTCAACTTGAATGTTCCACAGTGATGTATGAAACTTGACTATCTCCATGGAGACAAGCCAGGTTGACTCAGAAGACTGTAGGGATCGAGGACTAACCTAGGAAAAAAGACTCATTTATTAGAACATTCCTAGTGGAAGTTAAACATTAGAAAAATTATACTTAAAGGTGCATTGTGTCACTTTTCTGGTGGAGGGTGCATCAAATATTTTTCTTCAAGAAGATGTTGTTGCTTTGTCTGGAATGTTTCACAGTATGGCATTAAACTTTTCTATCTTCACGGAGACCAAACCAGATCATGATACAGGTCAGATCTGTGGAGAGGTGACCCTGCTCACAGTCACAGTGCCTGTTTTCGTAGGTATTTTTGAGTTTTAAAACCACCTGTAATTGAACAAATGTAAAGTAGAGCTGTTTAATGTTGTACTGTGGAACATTCCAAGCAGAGCAATGATATATCTATAGAAACAAGTTGACGGACTCCCAAACCGAAAAGTTACATAGTGCACCTTTAAAAGAAATCCATGAATAACAAGTCAGTATAAAATAATGGCGGCAAACCTGAGCAAACCACTCAAGAAGGGGTTTAAAACTGTAAACCTGTAAAACTACTTGCTTTTACAATTAGGAACTATGTTTACTTCACTGAGAAACTCTGTCTTTTTTCAGATTTGCGTCAGGACATGTTGACTCTGCAGATCATCAAAATCATGGAGAACATTTGGCAGAACCAGGGTCTTGATTTGCGGTACCTTCACTCACAGTTTTACCCTGTTTTATCCCCTGTCTTTATCCTTCCATCTCTGTCTTCATGTATCTAATCCTTCGTCCTCTCTGCAGGATGCTCCCGTACGGCTGCCTCTCTCTGGGGGACTGTGTGGGGCTGATCGAGGTGGTGCGTAACTCTCACACCATCATGCAGATCCAGTGTAAGGGCGGCCTGAAGGGGGCGCTGCAGTTCAACTCCAACACGCTGCACCAGTGGCTCAAGGACAAGAACAAGGGCGAGATGTGAGCATTTTATAAAGGGCTGATTCCACTACATGTGTGTACTGAAGCGTGTACACAGCTGCATGTGGAGGAGTCAGCCTGAAACCTCTCTTCATTTCAAACGCTGTATTACACAAAATTGACTCTTGTGAGCTTTAAGTTATGTTAATGTTGTAACCTTATCAAAAACAGACCTGGAGTTGTGTTTTGCTTCATTCACACATGTTTGAGTAACACTTTATTATTAGTCTGGCTACATCTCCAAAGCTCCAAATGCTCTGTTCCTCCTTGTGATGTCATGTACTGGTAGTTTTAAGTTTTGTTCAGTAGGTTTTGGAAATTGAAGGGCTAAAATGATCCAAGTTATTCTGGTAAAAAGTTTAAAAACACAGTACAGCACCTGAACCATAAGACAAGGTGGAATAGAGCGTTTTCTGTTTGAGAGAAGAGCTCCTCGCCTAAATCTGCAGGGTTTGTGTGTTAAAATGTATGAATGAAACCAAACACGACTCCTGGAATGTTTGTGATGAGGAAACAACATTATAACATAGAAAATAAGAAATGTAATTCATCTTAAGAGGTCAAATTTAATTCAAGGTCATAGTTTATTTTGTGGATCTTATAAAACCTGTTTGTATGACTGTTATTTGGGAGTAGTTGTTGAGTGCCCCCTCCTGGTGTTTGCAGGTACGACATGGCAGTGGATCTGTTCACCAGGTCCTGTGCTGGCTACTGTGTAGCTACATTTATCCTGGGGATTGGAGACAGACACAACAGCAACATCATGGTCAAAGATGATGGACAGGTGAGTGCCAGGGGACAGGACTGTTTTTACGCTTGTCAATTATGCTCATTAAAATGCAATTTAGATTGAACTTCAATTCATCTTAATTAATACCAAACCAAATTGGTCTGATGAATCATTTCAGCCTTACAGAACAGAACCCTAGCCTGTCTCTTCTCTGTTGCAGCTGTTTCACATTGACTTTGGGCACTTCCTTGATCACAAAAAGAAGAAATTTGGATACAAACGTGAGCGAGTGCCCTTCGTCCTGACGCAGGACTTCCTCATCGTCATCAGCAAAGGCTCCCAGGAGTGCGCCAAGACCAAAGAGTTTGAGCGGTTTGTGCAGATTAGACTTCAAATGCTTTTTATTTTACATCACATTATTATCAGGAGCCACTAGAATAATAAATAAATGTAAAAGATAAACAATAAGAAACAAAGTAGTAGTAGTAAAGAAAGAAAATATTCCAGTTTCAGTGGAATATGAATTTTTCCATTGGCATCGTATTTATAGATGAGTGAAAAAGACCTAATTCAAGCTTTCAACATAAACACTAATTCATTCAAGCTAGTTTGAATTAGTTAAAGGTGTACTGTGTTATTTTTTTAATGGACCTGCTTGTCTCTATGGAGATGTTACTGCTTTGCCAGGAATGTTCCACAATAAAGCCATAAACTTATCTTTCTACATGGAGCCAAGCAGGTCAGTTAAAGGTCAGATCTGCGGAGAGGCGCTTACAGTAAGAGTGCAATAAACCTTATCCAGCTTTTTTTGTGTAGTACATTTTACCAACGCAAAATCAGCCCAGAGTCAGCGCAGCATCAGTAAACACAAAATAGCTAAGTTTAATGTCATACTGTGGAGCATTACAGGTAAAACATTAACATCACCATGGAGACAGTCAGGTAGCAGACCCTCAACAGTAAATCTACATTGTGCACCCTTTGAGATTGTTGTGTTGCAGCGCACAAAGATGAATTGCGTGCATATATTAGAGCAGATCTTATAACAAGAATAATGCACAGACTTTATACAGCAGCTTTGAAAACACTCAAAGCTGTTTACATTACATTATTCATTCAGTCGATACTTTGTTGTGGTAAGATGTTGTTATAGCCACTACTTCCCTATAGACTATGGAAATGTCTGCTGTAAATTGCATCTGTAACCTCTATGCAGCTGGTTGTGTTGTTAATTTACCAGCCAGAACAGCATCATCCTGTATTTTAAAGAGTCTGGTTCAATATCCCGGACAATTACTTGGAGATTTCTGTGTTTATGCTAATGCCCCTGTCACACTGTCACCGCGTCTGTCTAATTGTGTTTTTTTTTTTCTGTGCAGTTTTCAGGAGATGTGCTATAAGGCGTACCTGGCCATCCGGCAGCACGCTAACCTCTTCATTAACCTGTTCTCGATGATGCTGGGCTCTGGGATGCCTGAGCTGCAGTCCTTTGACGACATCGCCTACATCAGGAAGACTCTGGCCCTGGAGAAGACGGAGCAGGTGAGAGGAGCAGGGAGGTGTATGTGGAAATGTATTCACACACAAACACACACGTACGCACACATAACATAACATACATACGCACACACGCACACACGCACACACACGCACACACACACGCACACACACACACACACACACTGAGCCCAATGTGTGGCCTATGTCTAATTAGTGTAGACACTTAAAAGTTAATAAACATATGTGGTAAATACTAAGTGGATTACCGTATTTTGCGCGTTATAGGGCAGTCTGGATTATAAGGCGCACTGTCACTGAACGGTCTTTCCGAACTTTTTTCACATATAAACCACACCGGACTATAAGGCGCATTAAACGAAACACAACAGTTGGATAAATCAGTCAAACTTTATTTAACACGTTCACAATAACTCAACTTTGTTCAATTGTAACGCGTAAAAAAAAATACTGTCTGAGACGCTAAATTGTTCTTGTATTCACAATAACTCATAATTGTTCAAACAGTTGGGCGAAGCATCCCTCTTGTCATTATCCGAGTCAGTGTGGTTACTGTTTCCTGACAGTTCAGTGATGATTCTGGTCTTGGTGAAAACTCAGACCACAGTTGATACTGATCCTTAGTCCAGGCGTCCACGATCCATTGACAGAGTAAGTCGCTCGGCGCTGTCTCTCTGTCTTGGTGAATGTGTGTTCGCTTTCTCTCTTCCACTGCTCCCACGCAGCTCACACTTTCACTTTATAACAGCCTTGAGTTTAAGCGTGTCTAATGACAGGTGCATTTCGATATTAAAGGAATCACATATGTTTTACTCCTGATGCTCCTGACTACGGGAGCCGTAATGCTGCAAGTAGTGCGGCTTTGTAGTTTACTAAAGTCGTACGAAGACACCCCTATAAATTCATTTATATTATCAGATTATTATATTATATTATATTATTATAGGGCGCGCAGTCATTTTTTGATTAAATTAAAGGCTTTTAAGTGCATCCTATAGTGCAGAAAATACAGTTGTATAGTGTGTATTGTATTTTATAGGCCTGACAAATCTCCCAAGGGCTACACTGTATTCATTATTCATTCAAACAGTCTTCAAACAATGTTCAGTCTATGTCATCACCGCTTTCCAGCCACCAGTGTGGGTGAAGTGTCTTACCCAAGGATACAGCAATGTCCTTCGGGTCTTGCACTTTTATCTTTGATCACTGTCACCTCTGCAAATATATATTTATTTCGCTTTGGTAACTGATAATCTTGTGGCTATACAAGATTTATAATTTAATTTCAAATCTGTTTCCCAAATTAAAATTTTGTTTTTGGACAAGTCTTGAAAATATATGGAAAATTTACTCAGCAGGTTTTGACAGTTGAGCTCTACTATTCTGCTCTTTTCTAATGCTTACGTTTGGTCACTAGGAGGCGCTGGACTACTTCATGAAGCAGATGAACGACGCTCATCATGGAGGGTGGACCACCAAAATGGACTGGATCTTCCACACCATCCGACAGCACGCACTGAACTGAGCTACAGCGCCCCCATGAGGGAGTCATCTCAATCAGCACCAGACCATCAGATTGACATTACACTACAAACAAGGGGGAGACAAACACTAAACACTGCACTAAAACACTAAAACAACTCTCCCTCCTTGGAAATTTTAAAAACTTTAACATTAAGTTTTAAATTGTATTGAGTGGTTGTGTTTTAGACAGTTTATTACCTCCAGCCGATGACATGGGAAAAGAAGGAGCAGGTGAATCAGGGTATGAATTGTGAGCGGCTAGAATCAAAACTTCTACGTTGGCTGCGCAATTCTAAATAGTCAAAGATGCACTATGTAGCTTTTCCTGCTCGTCGTTTCCATAGAAATGTTGTTGCCTTTGCCTCGAATGTTCCACACTATGGCATTAAACTGATCTGGCACGCATTGTTAAATTTTAGGAAATAAAAACCTTGAAACTTGTTACAAAAAAACTTATTTAACTTGTAATTTGTCCTGGTGGTATTATCTACTGTTTCCATGGAGATCAGTAAGGTCGGTAATGCTTAATGACATACTCTGGAACATTCTGGCAAATATTCAAAGCAAATTCATCCCCATGGAGACAAGTGGCAGAATTGTATGAACGAGATAAAAAAAAATACGAATCAGGACTTCATTTTAAATTATAAAAATGGTTAATCCAATCAAAATAAATAAAAAAAAATTAACTTTTAAATATTTATTGTTTCATCGTATACAAGCCAGCCAATAGGAGCTTGCCCCCTGTTCTCGCTTGTGATTGGCTAACGCTTGATACCAAACTTGACAGTAACTGGCACTTTTTGTTCATTGTTATTTATAATTTTCTATAGATTAAAACATAAATATAGAAGTAGGGAAGGTAAAAGTGCACTATTTAACTTTTTCCACTTGTTTATCGCCATGGAGATGATATTGCTTTGACCTGAATGCCCCACAGTATGTCATGAAACTCCACCTTGCATTTATTTAATTACAAAAATACACTGAAAAACATGTATTCACAATGGAAATAGATCAGTTTAATGCCATATTCTGAACTATTTGAGCCAAAGGTGGTGGACTCTACAATAGAAAAGTTACTTAGTGAAGCATTAAACCATTCTGTATCCAAATAACACAAGTAGTTCAACTATTTTGTGTAAATGTGCCAATGTTTTATAGATATTAAGCTACTGATAGGAACGTCTGAACAGGTCGCTCTGCCTTACTGTGACTAAAAGCAATTTGCACTTTAAATAGAATAGTACTGAAGATAACGTGTATTTTTTAATTAACTTTCAAATTTGCAAGTTGCCATTTATTGCCTGTTTTGCTCCATTTTACAACAATTTGACAATCATCAATCTGAGGTAATACACTGTCTAAAAAAACAACACTATTTTCTGATCTGTGTTCTAATGTTGTTTCCTCATCACAAACAGACCTGGAGTTGTGTTTTGTTTCATTCACACATGTTTAACGCAAAAACCTGCAGATTTAGTCTGAGATTTTCTCTCAGTAGAAATAGAAAACTGTCTGGTCCACCTTGTGATGTCATGTGGTAATATAGGAAATGCTCCACTGTGTTTAGGGGCGCCCAGTACGTTGATTGCGATGTACCAGTTGATCGCTGAGGTAATGCGGGTAAATCGCAGTGTCTTAGTACTCGTCCTGGACTCGATCTTCGACTTGTACTCGGTATTGTCTCTTTCGCGAGGTCTGACACTTGACAAGAGCCGCTGCTGTTCGTACTAAACTTGTGCCAGCATGCGGGAGTGTGCGCGGAGTCTCACTAGAGCCTGTGTGTTCATTTGGAACCCGCAAATTACAAACACACACACGCTCCCTTCGCGCTTTCTTGTTCGCAACAGCGTGTGCCCTCGTGTACCAGCGTGTATCACAGGGCAGGTTAAACTTTTTTAAAACATTCTACCTGTCCATCGGCCTCACATCAGCACACCGCTCCTCACGTTTTCACGCTCTCTCTCCTCCCTATCAGCACACACAGGCTTCATCCTCAGTGCGCTGATTAAAAGAGCAAGACAAAATGCGAAGCAAAAACTAATCTTAATTTATGGTACAGTGTTGGCACAGAGAAGCCAACATCTCAGAACAGATCTACTGCGACGTGGCTGAATTTGCCTAATAAAAGTGCACAAATGCATCTCTATTTGTCACAATGTGCGTTTGGTAAATGTGCAGAGGTACACATCACCGTAAAACCTGTAAGAGAATGGAGCTCCAGTTAGGAACTTGAAAAACAGGTTTAAAAATTCTACCCACTTCATTCACTTTTTTCACAGTTTTGTGCATAGTGCCAGTAGAAGTTCTCTTAAAGGGTGAGGGTTCAAAAAAGGGGCACAGGGTGTTTCAGTGCACTACAGTTTGTTTGGCTTTGTAGTAGGTGGATCATTTTGACACGGTCATTTTATAAGTAGCTCACTTGCTGAAAAAGTGTGGGCACCCCTGCTTTACTAGAATCATTTGGATAATTTCAGTCCGGGAACTGTCAGTCTCTATTAAACTAAAGGTAAAATGTAGCTGTTAACTTGAAAACTACCTCTTCCAGACATGTGTATTAGCAAGATCAAGTAATAGGAATCAGGACGTCTCGACACTTCATTTTAAATTAGACAAATGGTTAATCCAAGCTGTTGTCATTTATTTTGGTCCAAAACAGAAACGGGTATCACAGCGTCCTCCTCAGATGCAGCAAGAAAACAGCTCATGACATCACGAGGTGGAACATTTTAAGCTTTGTCGATGTAGACGAATAATAAAGAATTACTCAAACATGTGTGAATGAAACAAAACACAACTCCAGGTCTGTTTTTGAGGAGGGAACAACATTCTAACATGGTTTAAAGCTCACAAGAGTCAATTTTGCGTCATATAGGACCTTTAAAACTAATTAAAAAATAAACTTTGAAGTAACCGTCCAGCCAAGGAAATCCTGCTGCTCCGAGGAACAAGAATCGCTGCTGTTTACGGAAAAAAGGGATGAAAAATAACTTGGAATTATGGAGTTTTTCCGGGATCGTGAAGGCGGCCGTTTTGAACTTTTCCTCTTTACAAATGTGACATGACTCTTTGACTCACGGTGAACAAAAAAAAAAGACTCAAAAACTGCACTTCAAACAAAATTATGACGAGTTTTCGAAATTATTTATGAGAGACACTTGTTCATTTTGTAAATATCAGATTTTTTAATTTGTGTTTAACATTTTTGCAGCTTCTAAAAACTACATTTCCCTTTTTATTATTGATTCATTTCGAACTGCTGAGACTCCATTTTGTATTGTACAGTGTTATATTGAACGTAGCTCTTGTGCAGCTCATCTGACAGTATCTGAATCTACAACAGTCAAAGTGCCATTCTCTCTCTCTTACTATGTAGAAATCAGGATTTTATCATCACATCTCAACACTTATGATCCAGTTTAAAGGTGCATTGCGTAACTTCTCGAGTGGAATCTCCGCCACCAGTTTGTCTCCATGGAAATGCTTTGTCTGCTTTGTCTAGTACAGGGGTGTTAAACATACGGCCCGGGGGCTGGATACGGCCCTCCAAGACCTTTAATCTGGCCTTCCGCTGATTTTCTACTAAAATATTTTTATTATATGTTAAAACCTGAAGACAGAATTAGCCATTTTTCGCCCCCCATTCACAGTCAAAACCTCTGATGTGCCCGCAGACATGCAACTAAAAATAATAGATTTACAGTTACTACCTTTGTGAGCAGGTTTTCTCAGTAATGAACATTAATAAAACAAAGCTGCGCTCAAAGCTGAACACACAACACACAACACACAACACACAACAGACAAACACCTGAATGACATTGTGAAGACAGCAGCTCCTCAGGACATGGTGCCTGATGTTGATGCACTTGTGGAGGCTAAAAGATGCCAAGTTTCAGGAGCAAAAAGAAAGCATGACTAAATTCTATGAAATGCATACAAGTTCATGTTAAAACATTGTGCTGAAATTGCATTTTTCTTAAAGTTTCAGGTTGTTCATAATATTATAATATTTTGTAAAAGTAAGAGTTCATCAATTAAAAAAGATTTCTGTAATAGATTTGCGTTTCTCTGCACAAATATTTGAACTTATTGTTATTTTTGGGGTTTATATGTCATGAGTTTTCTGATCCGGCCCCTCTGGGATCAAAGTAGGTTGGATACGACCCCCGGACCAAAATGAGTTTGACACCCCTGCTCTAGAATGTTCCACAGTATAGACTAAACCTACAGTATCTATCACAAGGGAGACAAGCAGGTTACAGCACTACGCTACGTTACAGGACAGATCTGTGGAGAGGCACCCCTATTCACAGAATTATTATTGTATTTATGAGCAATAGAGATACACGTAATGAATAAATGCTAGATGGATATGTTTAATGTCATAACATGGAATATTCCAGGCAAAGCAATAACATCTTCATGGAGACAAGCAAATAGCAGACCCTCCAGTAGAACAGTTGCACAATGCAGCTTTAAATGTCGGTATAATAGTAACAGTAAGTACCGTATTTTTTGGACTATAAGGTGCAATATCAATAATGTTGAATTCTCTTGTCTATTGTCATACATAAGATGCACTGGATTATAAGGAGCATGAAGCGAAACAAACGGGCGACACTTGAGACTGATCCTTAGCCCAGGCGTCCACCATCCATTGACAGCTCATGGTGTAATTCGCCCGGCGTTGCCTCCCTGTCTTGGTGAATGTGGATTATGAATGTGAATGTAGGTGGATCATATAAGTTTTTTCTTTTTTTTTTTTCCCCTACGAGGACGACTCAAATATACATCAGGTAATAATGTGTTTAATTCAGCTTTGTGCACATTTCTTTACATTTTACAGAAACAAAACTTAAAAACACATGACTCATTTGCATAAACTATAAGCACTGAAAAACAGCTCGTTCCTTGTGCGCTGATGCGGTTCAGCTTCTGTCGGACTAAAGGACACGACTCCGCGAGGCTCCTGACTACAGCAGCCATAATGCTCCAACAATCCATCAAGCGGTGCAGCTTTGTAACTTACCAAAGTCGTACTAAAACATTTTGACAGATTTTTGAGCGCCGTGTACCACATAAAATCAGTTCGATGTCAGTAAGCACAACCAGAATTAATACATAAGGCGCACCAGATTATAAGGCGCACTGATGATTTTTGAGAACATTAAATGTGCGCCTTATAGTCCAAAAAATACGGTAAATAAACCAATGGAGATTTGAAGGTGTTAACTACTGGAGTTAGACTTCGCTCAAAAGTAGGACTGCTCTTGCCTGATAAATCCAGAATAACATCTCTCTGGATTTGTGTTTTTGATACTTTGCAGTGACATCATGCTGGAGGTGTTCTTTGGCGACACAGTGCACACATTAGCAAACACAGCCAAAAACCTTTAAGATAGTCTGGAAAAAAAAAAAAAAACTAGCTTGTGACTCTAATGTTATTTGAGAGAGCCTTATTTAATCATAAGAAAATCAGATCACTTATTGTAGTTCCTACTAAGTCAGTTCTTTCTGGTGTTGAAAGTCCAGTAAAGCCTCAGACAGAGCAGTGCCTCCAGTTAGCATCACACCCCCAGAGAATGTGGATGACATCAGCCGCAAAGTATCTGTACAGAGGGATGTCAGTCTGGTCACCACTCCCTCCGTCGCACCTCGAGTTAGAACCAAACATGATCCACAGCCAATCAGATTTGTTTATTTCAGTGCCGCATGTGAAACGAAGGAGCTCATTGGTCACACGCGATTTTGAACAAAAAGACATTTCTCTCACCGCAGATGAACACTTTAGTGCTTCGCTCATTGTTTCTGCAGAAATCTGTGAGGTTTTTCAGTCCCTAGTGATATTATTTTCTTGTTTCTTATTTTTGTCTCGATTCGGACGGACCAATGCCTGTCCCTGATTGGCTCAACCACCTGTCAATCACGCCCATTTAAACTCTGGGAGATTCACCAGTGACCAGACTCACATCTTTATAACGTATCGGAGAAGTGTGTATTGTGGATCCCGGGCAAGAGCTTTTGAGAAAAATGATCACAAATCTCAAAGGAGCAAGTATTTAGAGAATAAAATGTCCAATGCAAAGAAGAAAATATTCTGTCTTTTTAGAGGAAAATCTTGTTTCTGTAGTTTAGAGCTCTACAAACTCTGAAATGCATGGGATTTTTGTATTAGTTTATCAGTTCATATTTCAGTCTTCACTTCTTTACAATGTGTTTACAATGAGCCCTCTAAACTGAATCCTACTTTTTATTTACCAACATTGTGAAGCCCTACTCCTCCCTACATGATTCGTTTATTCATTTAATTCACAATTTTATCTTCCCTTAACTCAGACTACAGTGTGTTAAGATGGTAGCTTTTTAAAATTGTCTATGAAGGTGCTGCTGCTTGCAACGAACATGGCGTATTTTGTCAGTTTCAGTTTCGATCCCGATCTCTGTTTTTGCCCATTGCCACAAAATGATACTAAAAACCAACGTAACTAAAATGCTGCGTTCATCTGCTCCACGTCACTTTTTGAATTGAATTTTGTATTAATTTTTAAAAGCGTTTTGAGTTGATAGACGGGCAGTAGGCCGGGTGAAATGAGGGTGAAGAGCGAAGAGAGACATTCAGAAAATTTGCCGTAGAATGATAAGCCTTGGACCAATTACGAGTGTTGGAAAAAATGAATTCTTAAAGGATTCTCGATTCTATATCTTTTCTCAAAGAAGGTGCACTGTGTAACTTTATGGTTGGGGGTTCCATCACCTGCTTGTTTCTATGGAGATGTCATTGGAATGTTCCACAGTGTGACATTAAACAGCTCTACTTTACATTTATTCATTCATAGGCAGTGTTGGGGAGGTGACTTTTAAAATGTAATCCCCTACAGATTACAGATTACATACCTCAAAATGTAGTTTGTAAAGTAATCCATTAAATTACTTAAAGTGAGTAATGTAATCTGAATACTTTGGATTACTTGATTTGCTGTAGAGAAGCAAAGACTCAGAAATCTTCACAAAAGAAAATACAAAAGCCCAGATTTTACTGAACCAAATTAAAAATATTGATAGAAGAAGAGGAAACACAGTCCATGCAGCATGATTTAGTCCTGTTAAATCCTGTTTTAGACCTGGTTTAGACCTGGTTTTATTTCTGGTTTAGTCCTAATTTAGACCTGGTTTGGACCTGGTTTAGACCTGGTTTTAGTCCTGGTTTTAGTCCTGGTTTAGACCTGGTTTGGACCTGGTTTAGACCTGGTTTTAGTCCTGGTTTTAGTCCTGGTTTAGACCTAGTTTAGACCTAGTTTAGACCTGGTTTAGTTCTGGTTTAGACCTGGATTAGACCTGGTTTAGACCTGGTTTGGACCTAGTTTGGATCTGGTTTAGATCTGGTTTAGATTTGGTTTGGACCTAGTTTAGTGTCCGGCAATGAGTGGAATTACCGAAAAAAAAAAAAAAAGAGATATAGCCCGAAATGTGAAAAGCGGAAAATACCGCAGTGTAATCCATTTATTTCAACAAAGTAACTGTAATCCAATTACCACTCACTGAAACAGTAACTGTAACTGAATACTTAGTAGTTACTGAATAGTTACTCATAATTTGTACTCTGATTATATAACTCCAGTACATGTAATCTGTTACTCCCCAACGCTGCTCATAGGTGGTTTTATTGCTCAAAAATACCTAGAAAAAACAGTATTCTGACTTTGAACGGGTTCGCCTCTCCACAGATCTGACCTGTAAATTGGTCTGGTTTTGTCTACATGAAGATAGTGGTGGGAGTGTTTTTACGTCGTTTATAATGTTCCACAGTATAGCATTAAATCTATATATCTTCATGGAGACAGGGTTTGATATGTAGAGAGATGAGTCTAAAACGCCTTATTGTGGAACTAGCTTGGTCTGATTTGGTCTCCGTGACGAGTGAAAGGTTTTTGCCACACTGTGAAAACATTCCAGACTAAGCAAGAAAAGCATTTGATGGACCCTCCACCAGAAAAGTTACACAGTGGATCAGAATCCGCTTGAAAAGAAGACATGTCTGCAGTGTTACCTGTTTTTTATTTCTCTTCTGTTTCTACATGAAGTGCAAGTCCCTTCCAGTGAGATTTTAGGCCAGTCCTGGAGCTCATCATGATGTCACTAAATCAACTGCACTAATTATTTTAAAGCAGTAAAGGAAATGACAACGTAGTCTTCTAAACAACTGAAAAAATCTACGTTGAAGGCTTTTAAAGGTGCACTGTGTAACATTTTGGGGGAGGCAGGTAGTGGCAGTGTTATTGTGTCATTTGGAATGTTCCACAGCATAGCATTAAATCTATATCTTCATGGAGACAGGGTTTGATATGTAGAGAGATGAGGCTGCTGCTTTTTATTATGAAATGTCATATTGTGGAACTTTTCAAAGGTTTTCAAAGGGACAAACAAGTGTTTCATAATCCATCATTATAATCCCCAAATTATCATATATCAATCAATAATTATTATACGATAAGTATTGATACTTTGCAGTGAAATCATGCCGGGGGTGCTGTATACTACATGTATGTGTGTGACAGAATGGTCATGAGTTACCATGGTGACAGAATGTACACATTAGTAAACACTGCCAAAAAAGTTTAAGATCCGCTGACAATGTATTAAATACAAAATTGATTCAAACAGCACATTTTCAGGAGCCTGAGATCAGTACGAGTGTTCATCGTCCTGTTCAGGAGTTTGATTTTCAACAAAAATGTGACTGATTAACTGAATTCTAATTATATAAATTGTAATTTTACATGTGAGAGACTTGTGTAACATGGCAAAGAAGAAAAATCTGTTTGTCGACAGGGCAAAAGTTTGTTTGGTCGAATATGTTTCGCAGCTCATCCAAACTGCTTCACCTGTTGTCGTTCCAATTAAGTCTGTTCTTTCTGGTCAGATTCTGTTAAAACAAAGATCCAATTAAAGTCTAACTTGAGTAACAGAGCTTTAGACAGAGCAGTGTCTCTAGTGAGGGGAATGTTGATGACGTCAACTGCAAAGTATCAAATGTGACAAGTACATGCACTAAAATACTTCTCAATGTCTTGCCCTAGTGACTTTAAACTAATGGTAAATGGTCACATTTTTCTATAGTGCTTTTCCACCTTCAAGTCACTCAAAGTGCTTTACAACAAGGAACCACTCACCCATCCACACACCAGTGTACGCAGACACTGTGGGTAAGGTGGGTTAAGTGTCTTGCCCGAGGACACAACAACAGCATTCATCTGTGGGAGCTGGAATCACACCAGCCAACCTGTGCTTTTCAGTTATTTTCTGTCACCTCCCCCTTGGAAGAAGAAAACATTTTGCACCCCTCCACTCTACAGAACCTCTAGCAAACATGGACAAATCGCACCCTCGCCTTCAGTCGCCTACGTACAAGAGTAAACATTTTAGTCGCATTTCCAAAGCAACTCTGGGGACACATGCAGTATGTGTCCCGGGAGTACTGTATCTTTCAGACTACAAATCTCTTGCTATAAATAAGTCGCACCAGCAAAAAAATGCGTAATGAAGAAGAAAAAAACATATATAAGTCGCACCGGACTATAAGTCGCACTTTTTCGGGGAAATTTATTTTATAAAATCAGGGACCAGGAACCGACATTTCAAGTTGAAAGTAAAGTTATACTTATATATAAGTAATAACAACAGAACAGACTGAACAGGCGTCTGGAATGTTAACGCAACATATTAACAATTATTCATATAACTATAGCATAAACAACAGAACATAAGTTTACCAAACTCTCCATCTCACTCCAAATCACTAAATCTATTGAATCCATTGAATTCTTCATCCTCTGTGTCACTTCTGAGCAACTCTGTGCAATTTCAGTTGTCACTGAAGTCCAGGCATGGTGCACCCTCCGGTTGCTGTGAAGCTGTGTTCTCCATTCTCCATCCCCGCTTTCCTCCAGTCCCTCACAAGTTTCTCGCTCACTCCAAACTTTCTTTCTGCTGCTCGATTACTGTTTTCGGCTGCAGATTTCACGACTTGTAGCAGGACAGGAGCTTTTTCTGCAGGAAACATGCGCAGAAAACTGATACACAAGTCTAGAGCCTCTCGCGACTGTCATTCTGACAAATTTAATATATGAGTCGCACTGGAGTGTAAGTTGCAGGAAACACCGAAACCATGAAAAAAAAGTGTGACTTTGAAATATGGTAATTTAGAGTTTGGTATGCCACCTTATCTGATACTTACTGGTTTATTGAAGTTGGCGATATTTGGCACGTTTTCATTGGAAAAAGTGGCATATCAGTGTGATTGGGGTGTAATGTCTTTAAGCGACGCCGTAATTTCTTTGGCGTCACGATGTCCGCTGAAACACTTTTAGACACAGCGGTCTTTACTCGTTTCCCACCATAGTCACAGCGAAGTCGAGCGCTACAAAAGCTTCGTCATATTTCTTTGTCTTAAATTTTGGGAGACGTTTGTCGTTTGTTTCATTATCTTCTTTCTCTGCCTTTATTTTCATCCCAGTTAAATATTTTTCCGTGGTTTCTCTTGAGGTTTTGTTCACTGCACGTCATATCTCCTGCTCTGTGCTGTGTGTGCAATAAACCTGACTCTGGAACGCTAATACTCCCTACGCACACTCTGGCAATGAGAGCGCCACTGCCATCTACTGTAGTGGACGTGCAATTACAACCAGTGTTGGGAAGTTTACTTTTAAAATGTATTCCCCTACAGATTACAGATTACATACCCCAAAATGTAGTTTGTAATGTAATCCATTAAATTACTTAAAGTGAATAACGTAATCTGAATACTTTGGATTACTTGATTTGCTGTAGAGAAGCAAAGACTCGGAAATCTTCACATAAGAAGATTTATCTGCTAAAAGAAAATAAAAATCCCAGACTTTACCGAAACTAATTAAAAATATTATTGATAGAAGACGAGGAGACATGTCCGCGCAGCATGATTTAGTCCTGTTAAATCCTGGTTTAGTCCTGGTTTAGTCCTGGTTTAGACCTGCTTTAGACCTGTTTTAGACCTGGTTTTAGACCTGGTTTAGACTATAGCCCAAAATGTGAAAACAGGAAAATACCACCACGTA